GATTAAACCTTCAAGTCTTGATGATGGAGTTCTAGCATCGTGCATACTAGATTGAGCCTCTTTGCAATGCTCAAATGTTAAATAGTCTCCACCACTCAGAACTTTAATAGGTTTCCAATTACTCTCTTCATCATGTCCTGGTACATAGAGATGGAACCACTAGAGAATGTCCAACATATCATCTTCATATTGCTCATTTTTTCTGAGGGCACCAAGATGAACCTATATAATTACATTGGAAGAATGATCAATTGTAGCACGGTTCAAAATTAATAAGTTATTAAATATTCCCAGGGATAGCAGTAGCAAATAATGCACTGGCTTAAGGTTTCAATACTAATTAAATCATTAATGGAACTTTGCATGATGGTAATGGAGATGTGATTCTCCCTCCCAGGAAAATCACATCCCAATCAATGTGGCCTGCCATATATGCCCTTCACGGTGATTATGCCATTTGTGCAGCCACTATAAACATTAAAACTCTTTTTAGTAGCCTCAATAGTTAACTTTCATGACTAGCGCTCTAATCTAGATAAAATACATGCATCATATACCCTCCCTTACCAGCCTTTATTGGCCACCTATTTATATAAAGATTTTCTATGTCCGTAAATGTGTAGTCAGCTGTAACAAGACAAAGAGCTCTAAACATGAAAATGAGGCTCTAATAGCCAAGGCTGAATACTTTCCGGACGGGTGTATTCTTGAGTTCAGTTACTGTGATTCGACACTTCATGTGATGGCTATTCATATAGCATGCTCAAGCCCCCCCTCCTATCTTTAAATGTATATTTTTCCAATATTTTTGTTGTTCAATTCAATGGTAACAGAAAATGTGTGAAATTGCATTATATCAAGCCACCTCCCAGACCCTCCAAGCTTTACCGGAGCACTCCACAAAATTCACCCCCAACTTAAAATATCTTCCTATGCCAGTGAAATATCAGTATATATATGCTGTAAATACCTTTTCTGTTTTCTTTTTGGTGTTATCCATCTGTGCATGAACAATCACTGGTGGAAGATACTCTTGAAACCACTCAAGTGAAGGGATATACTGACTCCATATATGACCAATCAGAACAACCAATTCATCAACTAAAGTAGATTGCTCTTTAGCACTTGGAAGGAAAATTGAAAGAGGTAAACTTTTTAAATCATTGGAATATTGCTTGTTTGAAAAGTCATTTGATGAAATCCGATTCTTAAAAGCAAGCAGCTGGTACATGTGGTAATCCTTGTTCTTGTTGTTCAGAGTCATCTGGCATGGTAAGATTCGCATATCAACATTGTCCCCTGTAAAGGAATAACCAGGGTGCATTGTCTTCCTGTGATTCTCCAATTCTTTTGATAGCTTATCAGCTTCAGATTCACTTGCATTCTCAAGACAGTGTAGTAAATGGTTTTCCTGCTTAACATTTTCTTCAACTTGCTTTTTCCATACTTTTAATGTGTTATCAAATCCTTGACCAACACTTTCGAACAGTGTGTTTGTTGCTGCATATCCCATGCAGCCATACAAAGGTGACAATCGTTTAAAAGCTATCTTTTTTAGACCTCCTTTTTTTAAAATAACAGACATTATCTTTCTTGTGGCATTCATATCCTCATTAAATATCGCAATCAGCTGACACCCAGAATTTAACATGGGCCCATCAAGTAATGATTTGGTCTTCAATACATTTCTATTTGATGATGGATTTGTTATTGCTGACTGTAAAAATTGAATAAATCATGGAGCTCTTAATAAAAGTTCTTGATTGACCTTGTCCCATGAAAATTCAGCGAGTTCTTTGGGAGAGATCTTTCTTAGCACTGACGGGTTAGTCTTTGAACAGAGGCCAACTATTTCTGATGTTATTTTCTTACTGATCAGTTGATATATAACATCATTGAGATCTGGTATTGCAAGTACTGCACTTGCTATCGATGTGTTATCCTCTAGTGCCAACTGTCTTCCAAGTCTTTCATGTGTATCCTTCAGCTGAACTTTTCTGTTGGACTGTTGGGGTATTGAATGACCACCTAATATATAAAAGAAACCATGATTAGAATTAAAAATACTTGTGAAAATTAAAAACTTTCTACCATAAGGCCTCTATTAAGCCCCCCCCCCAAGGGCCTTATTTATTTCAGGTGGGCTTATTGGAGAGAGATTAACTTACTAGAGGCAGCTCATTGATTATGTTGAAACATAGGTAGGGATCGCAACCAGAAGTCGGTTACGCATTGGAACAGCTTCAATTTCCGGTTAATATTTTCTCAAATATGCTACCTTCAGCGTGTTATTATGCAAAAGAGAGCAAACACATCATTTTAAAATTAATCTTTCTAAAAAAAGTAGATCTCAATCTACAAAATGAGTGTATTGTCGAAGCCTGAAGTGCCGTAGTTATTTTGTTACGAAGCATCAAAGTTTGGGCATATTTGCAATTTTGCAACCATTAAAATCACGCGGCACGCATTTACTCACCCACCCGTCCCTCTTCAAACGATTTTCCGCAAGTGAGCCCGACCTGAATGCAGGTTTAAAATAGCACTACCTTAAAGTTTAAAGCCTGGAGATTCTTCTGAACCCTGTCGTTCTTCAACTTTTTGAGCAGACGACTTTGTATTTGAAAAGTCAATTTTGAAAAGCAAGATACGACTCAATTTAACGCAAAATGTCTACAACGACAGGTATGTACATAAACTATATGTTTTAAGGTTTCTTTTGATATATAATTTGTTTTGTTTAACGATCGAGCTCACTTGCGGAAATTCATTTGAATTTAGATAATTTTGCAAGTTCGCCAATGGCGTGCGTGGAATACATGTGCTCGTGGAACTGTCAAAATTGGGATGAAGAAAATTTGATTGCCCTGCTTAAAAACGATGAAAAACCTGAATGGTGGAAAGGTAATCATAAAATATGTTATCGTTTATTTAATAAAATCATTGAAACAACCTGTAGTTTGGAGGGCAACCAGGAGGAAAGGGTGAAAAGAAGCCTTCATGTGCTTGACCCTAATATAATCATCCCTGCGCATATTAAAAACCTAAAAAGAAAGGTAGTCAATATGCTTGCGAAACACCCAGAGGGTAGTTGTACAGTTATTTTACAGGACTATAAAGAGCACGAGCAGGCATCTATTGCCGATGAGTGTCTGAGACTTGGAATTACTGACCAGGTATTGCATGATATACTGAGTCTAAAACAGCAGGGTGTTGGTAAGACCCCTGTTGTATTTTTAACTAATAAGTTGGTAATCCAGTTAAGCGAAACAAGGGAGCGGATGGGAAAATCATGGGTTGACATCCTAACTTGGCTACGTGTTTTAAGTAATGACCATAATTTTGGGAAAGTAGATAGTGTACGCGTAGCCATTGAACGTGCGGTTGATCATAAGCGTGAATTAGTACATCACAAGAAAAAGAAGTTATGTGAAGAGTATTTAGCTAAAGAGTTTTTATTGCCTCAGACGAAGACCCCAGAATCAGTACCAGCTCAAAATGACCCTGCACTCCAATACCAAATGTTCTTTGATCAGCAAGCGAGAGAAATTGAAGTACTTCTGTCCCAAATGGAACATTCGAATAAAGAAGTTGAAATGTTAAGTCAACTTGTTAAGGAGCAAAGTGAGGTAGATATTGCAAAGGCAAATGAAGTTAATAGGTTGCGATCCAATCTTCATGAAATGCAAAGCAAACATGAGGAGACTTCGAAGAAATTGCAAGATGCAATGGAGAAATTGAGCAAGATTTCAGCTCGGAATGTCAACAAAAAGTTAAAGCGTCGAGATGTCACCAATGAGAAGTTAAAAGAAATGACAACACTTCAACAAGTAGAAATCGAGAAAAAAGAGACCGACTTGCAAGCACAAGCAAAAACATATATGGATATAATTGATAGAAAAGATAAAACAATTCAATGGTTAAATGAAAGATTGGATTCTGCACTTGAAGCCAAGACCAAGGCACAGAAATTAAAATCATATTATAAAAGCAAAGCAGTATATCAGAAAACAGAAGGTCCTTTGCTTTCAAAAATTTCAGAATTAAAATCCCATATTGCCGAGCTTGAAAATGAAGTTGAAGTTTTGCAGGAACATATTCAAGACTTTCTAAAAACCCCAATGGTAAAAACATTCCAGAATGGTAAGTATACCGATGAGGTCAGGGCAGTATATGAAGACCTCTTGTGTTGGGGAGTAGGAGTAGAAAATGTTCAAAAAGTGGTAAGAACTGTCATAGAGAACCTTGCAGGTTTAGAATGCGAGCGACTCCCCAGGGCCACTTTTGCTAGATATATGTATTTAGAAGCTAGGCGTCTTTCTCAGATTCAAGTAGCGGAACAGCTGCTTGATGAGTGGGATTCGGGTAACCGCACCCTGCATAGTGATGGTACTTCTAAGCATGGTTACCACTATGCCACATTTGATGTGACATTAGATGATGGCAATGTCATGGTAGCTGGGCTGCGAGACATGGCGTGTGGTGATGCTGAATCTCAACTAAATTTATTGAAAGAAGTTTTAGGTGACATTAGCAGCTCAGTCGAGGATGAAAATGCAGATAAAAAGGTGATGAAATCCATAAAGAATTTGATGTCTGACCGCTGCATTGTCCAAAAGAAATTCAACGAGATTCTCCAGACATATCGACAATCCATCCTGCCTGAAGTTGTGGAAGAGTGGGATATTATGGATGATGATGAGAAGTCCAAGGTCTCGAGAATGAATGATCTGTTCTGTGGCTTACATTACATTGTTGGACTTGCTGATCAAGCAGAGGAGGCTTTAAGAGTGTGGGACAAGCTCCTGTATGATGAAGCAAAGGTTGGAAGCTTGAGCCAAGGTGGGTATAGTAAAGGAGGAGAAAGTGGCACCCTCCGTTTACTTCGAACAGTGTGCAAAGCTGTTCAGGCCAAAGGATGCGAGCGGTCTGGAAGAGCGGTATCCTTTGCTGACCACGCCAGAGAGAATGGCATTGAGTCAATACCCCTTGCACCATTTCTAGGAAATAGATTTAATATCATATTTCATAATGGTGGTGGTGTATTTTATTTGCACGAACACCTTAGATCATTCTTTGATATGATGAAGGATGAAAACAAACTGCTGAAGGCAGTTTATTATGACTTAGAAGTTTCTTCCTTTTTAGCAGGGTGCAGGGCCCTGGGATTGATTAACAAATTCATTACAGGTCCATTGTGGAGAGTCCTTGAAAAGGAAGATGTAAGTTTCATGGATATGAGTGCTCGATACCAGCGACTGTTGGAGTGCTTTGAAGATTGGGCACAAGACTCCACTCCTGTACTCGCAGGTGAAGCTGTGGTGTTTGATGATGTCAAACTGAAGAAAGATTTGTGCTATGAGAAGCTCATCAAAGAAGACTCTGATTGGGATCCAATGACAAAGCAAGTCCTCGAGTTGATATTTGGATCATTTGTTGTTGTAACAAAGCGAATGTTGACTGATCACCTGGAGGGTGGTAAGTACGACAAACCCGATGTCGAAATGCAACATGAATGCAAGAATGCTCCTAAGACGAATGTTGTTCCAGAACGAGATTTCGGAATGCTGGATCGTCTTCTTGCACAAAAGCCAAATGCGACAACCTTGGTCTTCGAGGGCATTTTGATGTTCACAAAGAATGATACCAAAGGTTGGAGAGATTCGCTTATGCCAGAGAAGAGAAAGGCAGTTATGGAAATGGCGCGAAATTCAAAGGCAAGCCAGCGACAGCAATTCATTGAGCGAAAGGCAATAATTAGAAAAAAGAGAGAAGAAAAGCTTGAGAAAGGAAAACAAGAAAAAGAGAGAAAAGAAACCAAGTTAAGAATGCTAAAGCAAGATTTAGTTCAGAAAGTGGAAGAACTTGGTGGAATGTGGAAAACAGACACAGAGGTTGATGAGCAGATTGCCAAAATAAGCAAGGAAAAAGACAAGAAAATTGCCATCAAAACCCAGATCCAGTTCCGAAAAATAGTGCTCGGGGCAAAGCATAAAGATAAAAAAGTATTTCAAATGTCGTCAGAGGGTAAAGCATTTAGCAGTCAAGTGCTTGTCAGTAATCTTAAAGAAATAATTCGTCAATCCATCGAAGATAGCAAAAAGGTGACCGAGCCTGAAAACCCTCAAGTTACTCGGGTTGGTCAAAAGCTCATCTCACGTGAAAAAATGTTGGAGCAAAAAGAACTATACAAAGAACGAGCCAGCAAAGAAGTGGAAAAAGCTGGAGGAAAGAGGAAAGGAGACGGTCCAACCAACAATGATAAAATATCTGCAAAGCGAAAGAAGGATAGCCAACAAAATGAAAATGTTCCAACTATAGTTGTACCAGTAGATCTTGTTGGAAAGCGGGTCTCTCATCATTGTTTCGAGAATGATGAAGCTGACTGGTTTGAAGGTGTTGTCATTGATATAAGTGAGACCAATAACCAGGACCCTGACCTTTACATCAGATATGACGGCTATGACTCTCTCTACATCTTTTCACACCATGATTTTAAAGATGGTAATGTCAAACTAATACCAGTATCTGAAGAGGACTTCTTGGGTAAAAAGATATCCCAAAGATTTGAAGATGAAGCTCAAAATCACAGCTGGTGGGAAAATGGCAGAGTACTACAGATTGTAGAAGGTAGTGATGACACTAACCCTGAGTTTGTCATTGAATTTGACTCCCAACCAGAATTAGATGACACTGAGGATGAGGCAAGTACTGAAAGTGAAGTTTGCATCTTCAATTTATTTGAAGATTACTTGAATAACGACTTGCGAATACTTTGAACTGCCCTGAGAACATACCCTAGTTGTGAGAAAAAGTTATACTGCACATGTAAAATACTAATGATTGTTGGAATGCGCAAGTGGCTGCGAGTGTAAAGAGTGGTGGCGTCATGTACAAGATCAACCAGGGCAATGACTGCGATACACCACTCTTGCGCCATTGCTGCGAAATAGTTCCAACCTGCACAATGTGCTGCGAATGTAAAGAGTACTGGCGTCATAGTGGAAAACCTAACCTGGAAATGACTGCGATACAGCACTCTTGCGCTATTCCAACATGTACAACTGCACGGCTGGTATTTAGTTTAAGAGGCGGTGTGTGAGGAGGCTGAGCTGAGGAAAGAGGGTGGAAGGGAGGAATGCCTCTTGAAATCCTATTTTATTAATAGAATTTCATCTGGCAATCTTCAGCTCAGGCCTGAGCCAACAAATGATACACTAATTGATGATTTACGGATAATCAATTATGCTTTCTTTTCTATTTTTAGGTCTTGATTTTCTTTAAGAGTAACTCACTCGTAAAGTGCGCTGAAAATCATGAAATGAAAGAATAAATTATGGTAATTCCTGTAGAAATTTAATTAGTGCATATCATAATTTGTGTTCTTTTTCATTTTAGACTTTAATTGTCTATGATGCTATCAGGTGATGAATAATCTGCTGAAAACCCAACTGTAAACTGAACTGTTCAGGGTGGATGGGAAATTTTAATTAGTTTAACTGTTGACTAATCTGTTATTTTTCATTCTTATAGTATACATAATCAACTTAAAGTACACCATGGAATAGAAGCGTCAATGCATTCAACCTGTATGGCTTTCTTAAATGAGACAGTATGTAGAAAATAGACCAATATTAAATGAACAAGCAGTCCAGCTCGATATATAGCTCAGGAGCTTTTGTTGTCGAAACTGTATCTTTCATTGATAAACTAGTGTTACAGTAAATAATACTGTATGTTTCTTGAAAAATAATTTATTTCCTCCTCAAAATGAGAAATTAATCAATAGTATGACGTCATGAGTGACGTAATTGAGACGTCATCGGATTTGTAGCGTCGTCATGGAAACTGACTATGTAATGAGTGTTTAGGATTGTAAAGTGTACAATAATAAAACTATCGAAATATTTCAATAAGTTTAGTAAATTTTGAGCAAAGATACGCAAAATTTTCCAATTAGAATGTATATAAAAATGACGTCACATGGTTACCATGGTAACTGAACGGTGTTGTCTGTGGTATTGTTGAGCTTGTAATGATACCCAACACACACTTAGTTTTTATAAATTAATGTTTTGTGATGAAAAATGCAGGCAAATTATGTATTTTAGTGCATATTGTTCATAGCTATGACGTCGTTATGACGTCATCATATTTCCATGGTAACGCAGTTTTGTAACATTTTATCAACTAGTATTACTTATTTGACGTATAACATGCCCATACAACACTTTTGTAATGGTTTTTCAGTAATAAATGATCTAATTTCAGTTTTCGTGTTTTTTCTTTGTCATTCAATGACGTCATACGGTTTCCATGGCAACGGTAAGTGTCCAACTGTTACACTATGTTGTTGCTGTGTGTGTTACCAATGTACTCTGAAAATATTGTGGTGATCGGATGAAATGTCTAGAAGTTATGACCTTATATGTTAAAAAATCAGCATAAAACCAAGCATTTTGGTGCCGCATTTCACACCCAGCTGTAATACATTTATACAGTGTCGCTCTTCCAAAAATTTGACGAAAATTCCGATATTCAAATTGCCGTAACTTTTGATTGCCTTGACCGATTTTGATGAAACAAACACCATTATGTTTTAAATCACGAGCTCTTTCAAACTAGCGTACTTGCGCAGCCCCCCTGTAAATTTGAAATTTTGGCTGCTATCCCTAACATAGGGGAAAGGCTTGGTGGTCAACTTTACACATATTGCCGCTTTATGCCTTGTGGAAGCAAGTAAATTTCGTTAAATTGCATATATATTTGATACCAAACACAAGATCAATACTTGTAATGAATATTTAACTCATGCCAGTAAATGTGTTTCTATTTTGAGTTGACCACCAAGCGCTAAATGTATCACGTGACTATTTTTCAATTACTGACTCTGTATCTCGTCTGCACATGAACAACCAAACTGACGGTTCAATTTACAGCATTGCATTTTTTTTCTTATCAGCTGCTGGTAAGATACGAGTTGTGCAGTTTATATTTTTCACGTTTCTGTATCACTTCATGGAGACCTTAAAATTGACGTTTATGGCAGACCGCTAACGACAAACTTCAAATCCTAATTTGAAGTCAACAGCTTTTTAAAGTTAGGGCAATCTGTGCATTAAAAATTAAGCATGAATTAGCTACTTACAATAGCTGTCGAAAACTTGCAAACGTACCTTCAAATACGATTTTTAATTGCTGTTTGCGGCCAGTCTGCCGTAAACGTCACTTTTAAAGGCTCGTTTTCTTTTGCAAGTTTTGATGCGATTTTTTTCTTCAAACGGATGTGAACGATATGTTATGAATGTTCAGATGAGGGTGCATGTACTCGGAACATTCGTAACTCATCTACTCGTTCACATGCATCAGAAGAAGAAAATCGCACTAGAAATCGCAGCAAAAATTGTAAATGTAAACGGGGCCTTAATTTCCCAGAATGAGTATTAATATCAAATACAATACAAATATAATGGTATTTGCATTAAATTATAATGGTTCGTTTTATGTACCTCAAATAGAAATTTTCAGCACCATCATCTTTTTCTTCAGAAACGTTTTCAATCTAAAACACCGAAAACAAAAATCTATTAATGCTATTAAATGGAAGAAGAATATCTAGGAAACACGCAGACTTCATACAACGTCTAAAACATAAACAACCAATACCTTATTCACTAGATTGTCATTTCCAAGAACGCTCAGTATAAGTTCAATTCCACATAACTTAAACTGATGCAACTCTTTCCCAGAATGAGTATTAATATCAAACACAATACCAGATGAATCAGCGTAACGTTTTCTACTGTTACCTGCACAAATTTCGAAACATAAAGCGTTAGTTTTGATATTGGCTAGCGGTAGTTCCGTGCAGACCAGTGGTAAATTGTAGCTACAGTAAGGACCTACGTCCTTCCTTCCGCTGAGAACCGATATCAGCTCGGCCTATATTGTCATAGAAATTGGTCTTTGGCAGTTCAAAACGTGTTTACACTGTAGCCCTGACCTGAGACTTACATGTACCTATACAGGACTGACTTCGGTCTGAAGGCTATAAATTACGCATTATATAAGGCATATTTTCAGCATGCCTTACAACCACGGTTTGTGGCTATAAAGTACGCCAGTTTTCGGCATATATATTAGATTTTTTTAAGGCTACAGTGACTTATTTCAATACATCAAAATCATCCCACCTTCCCTCATTTCCCGGCAGGCAGGAATCATGCCACTAAGCCAGTCTTGACACTACAGAACGAACATGCAGCTTTAAAAGGTCCGCCCCATGTCAGGTATTAAAGTCCATATAGTCTACCACAAACCTTCTGGCTTTTCTTCAGGAAGCGTTGCGAGATATTTTAAAAGGCTCACCAACGATAGCATCTTAAACACAATATAACAACCTCATATGAACAAAAAAAACGCTCAGCAAAAATCATACGTTACTACACTTTTAAGCCACGTTTCTTGTAGTTTCGTGGCAATAACACGGAATCTTCCAAACTAGTAGTCTAGTACTCCCTTACATATATGATTAACACAAATAATAATTACCTGAAACTCTGGAGAAAACTCGCTGCATAAAAAGTTGCAGAATACTAATCCGGACTCTTTGGTTTCAACCTAACAAATGTATAAATAGTTGCGGGAAATTATATATTGAACGTGCATACATACACACAGTAGACATGACATATTTACTGAAATGATGTGGGTTGTGCAACTCAGAAAACGTCAGAACCCCTACGAGAATCGAACCACGTATAGCCTCTTAATAACCGGACAGATGCTCTAACCATTGAGATATACAAGGTCTCAGATGGCAGACGCATGAAGGTTACACTGTGTACTAATTCGTGTTATACGAGGCGAGAATGGAAGATTAGTTATAAAATTCATGCGAGTTTGTACCACCAAAACAATGATATAACGGCATGGTAAACTTACAGACTTAAGGTGGCTCCCTACAGTTTTCTAAAATTTTAAGTATTTTAGGTAACCTTCGTTTTCAACCAAATTTATATTGAACACACTTAAGACAGTGCAATATAATCATTTCCAGGAAAGTTCAGAAGTCTTCTGCTGTCGATATATGAACAAATAGGAACAGTGTTAGTGTTGCCATGGCAACCATGACGTTTCATCTTTTGCACTTTTATTGTCTAATTTTACAATCAAACGGCAATATCTTTTTTTTCCTTCGGTCAATTTTTCTGAATTTTTTTTTTTAAGATTTATGGTTGAAAGAGGAATGACATATTAAAATTTGAAGGGATGTTTATAAGGCAGGTTTTGAGATATTCATGAATAACGACTACAAAAAATCTGCCTTGTTTGGCGAATCGTCATGCTTAGCAAACGCGCAAAGTTTAAAAAATTTCATCGAAGGAAACGCGAGGAAAATAGTCCTAAATCCAGTTGAAGCTGTTGACGTGACAAAATATCGATTCGACATGATCACTATTTGCGCATGCGTGTAAATTATAATGCGTGAGGAACACGAAACGCGTAACACCGCGGAAAAACGTCTGCGCATGCACCAAATTATGAAAATATGGCGGGGAATTTGAATATCAATTTCTAAAACAAAAACATGCTTATTAATTGGTCAAAAATTAGTAAAACAAACGAGAAAATATAGCAAATGGGTAGACTAGACATTAATTGAAAGCGTCCTGGCATTTAAAGTATGGAATGAAATATAATTCATGTAAAAAATTGTTGATTTTAACGGACACGACTTCGAACATTTTTGCAAAATTATTCAAAACAAAAATTCAAACTAAAAAGTTAAGAAAACTCTCGAAAAGTTAAGCTTCTTAACCCACTCAAATTGTAGAATAAATCCTAAAGTTTAATTATTGTGAACACGAAATTTTTTTATATTTGGCGACACAGTTTTTTTTAAAGAAATGTAGCTCAAACGAAAATTCGGAAATTCTCGTTGCCTAGTTGATAAACAAAATGTTTCAGACGATAAATTTGTCAACAATCACCTTTAGTTCACGTTCTTGTACAATACAATTTCTTGAACCTTCTGGCTGTATTTATTCCTAGTTTTTAGAATGACATGTTTATTTTTGCGCTCGAAATCTGGCTGTAAAGACGCACAATGAAGTCACTCCTTTTTACCGCCATTTTGAGCCTTCGGAAACGTTCGGAACAGCTTCTCATCAAGTTCGCAATACTATTACAGGTAAGGTTGACGCATGCGCAGACGTTTTTCCGCGGTGTTGAAACGCGTACGGTTTATGTTGGCGTTTTTTAGCAATTTTCACTTCGAGTTTTTTTTAACTGATTGCCAAAATAATTGTCCATACTAAGAGAAATCATTTCTTTAAATAAAATTTGGGGGTCACCGATGTCGTTTACGAGTTAAATTACTTTAAAGTCAAAATATCCGCCATCTTGAAACGTCATTGTTGCCATAGCAACGGCAGTTGCGTAACTTTTGTGCAAAAATTCAAACTCTTTAGATGTTGTTTTATATCAGTAAGATACTTTTTGTTTATCAACAAGTAATAATTGTCCAAAAATACGCATTTAAATCGTGCATTTTACATTTTTTTAAAAAACTGTATTGAACCACCTTAAAAAGGATTAAACCTGCAACCTCCAAAATGCTAAACATGCATGAAGTACAACATGTAAACTGCAAAGCAATGTTACCTTTGCTTCTTTGTTTGATATTTTTTCGAGAAGTAAGGCCAAGCAGACATGAAGATAACTTGATGCTCCTAGTGTTGTTAAAAGATGAACAAATACTGGCAAGCGACGATGTTCAGGAACATGAGGGTAAGCATCAACAAACACTCGCAATACTTTCGTTACCAAAGATTTCACGTTTCGCTCATTTTTCTCTGCCTGGTGAGAAACAACAAATAAAGTTAATATATAGTTGCTACACAGAGACCGAAGCTTAATTTCATGTGCATGCCAGCCGAAACACGCTATGATTGGTTAAACATTTTTAATCGTAATTCCACAGAGTGTGGGAAATCAAACAGCATTCAGGACCCATGTGCATACATTGTATTATTACTTTCTGTTCTACATTGTAACATCGTTATTCATAAGTACATGTAGTACATGTGCTGATCTCTTCACATTTACTGGCAGTTTATAAATTAGGTAGTAGTCAACTTTAAAGTAACTCGCATGCACAATATAATCATCTACCTCCTCCACAGGCGTTTCATTAGAAAATTGACGCTTCGCGGGAGATAGCAAACATGTGTGCTCTACACTAAACCCCAGTTTTTCATACGTAAAACCAACTCCGCCATATATAATGTCAAGGTTTCAAACCTGTATAAGCGCTGGGATGACGGCCTCAACTGTCCTCTTGATAACCTGAAAGCTGTATGCATCATCTTGACGGAGGACACTCATTCCCATGAATGTAAATATGGACATTATATTATGGAGAACCTTTTCCTGCGAGGAAATAAAGGAAATAAAAATTACGTTTGCGGTGTCAGTAAATTGTTAGTCTATCGACCTCCTTTGGTATAGCCTGCATGGCAGGCGGTCTTTCCCAGGCTTGCCCGATTTTAGGGACCGCCTGCCATGCAGGATACCTTTGGTATGACTTATAACTTTCAATAGATCTGCTGCTGTGCAACTATGAAATCACACAATATCTGTTAATTTTGACACCTGGATTATACGTTTGACATATTAGACTAGTCCACTAAACATTTCAATTTGGAGCTCTTTAAAATATTTGCGCTCTGGTGTAATGTTCTCAATTATTCAAGCTCTTCATTTCTTGAATACAGCCGAAGATAATGATTTGGTATTTACACAGGTTAACTTCGTAAGCTTACTGAAAAGTTGTTATCAATGAAGATACGAGACAAAAAGGGGGTGGGGGTATAAATGTAAAATTTATGCACAGTTAACAGAAAACTCACTGGGAAGAGTTTCGCACCAATAGCCAACAAGGAAAGTGCATGATGATGAGTCTGGGGATTTTCAGATACGCGAATACAGTGAATGATCTGCTCCACACTAAAATGTTCTTCACTAAGGATACCTGCGAAATAAATAAACAGCAATTAGCCTTTCTCACGATGACGAATATCCGCCATTTTTTAATGGGTGGCATCTAATTCTCGTTAACCAATGCAGACAATTAAAACAACGTGAATTAAAACAATAAACTAACCATTTACAAAGCAACTTTATCATCATTCGTCCAAAAAATTATAAAAAGTCGCTGTTATGTGGACTGTTATGTCGCAGACTTCGGCTGAAAACCCACCCAAAAATGGCGGCGTGAGAAAGGCTAATTGGCCCTGTGGTTATTCTATTTGTGGAAGTTCTGACCTTCACCAATCAATAATAAATATATGGAATGGGGAAACACCACTTTACACTTATCATTTATCACACAACATGGATTGAGATTATGTCGATTATGAGATCAAAAATAATTTTCAACCTTTTCAAAGAAAAATCCTTTCCTAGTTAAGTTTTCATTGTGGAATCATCATTTTGTTAACATTAATCTATTTCATATTTCATATCTTATTACTTCCTTACCTCGTTCCACGCCTGTATTCTGACCAACATGTGTTTGACAAATCTTTAACATTGTTGAAAGCAATATTTGTTTGAGATAGTCAACAGAGGTTTGGGATGACATTTCGAGACACCTTAAATATAAGATATTGACACCATTTCGAGACACCTTAAATACAATGCCGACTGGTAATCGAGCCAAGGGAGAGGGCTGCTGCATCATAATGCGCATGTTAATTGCGACCAAACTGTTCACCTGGCAACCACATATTTGCCAAAGGGAGCCCTCGTGATGACTGAGAAAAAACTCAAAATAATAAAGTAATTCTTTTAAAGCCTTAAAATATTTTAAAATATTTCGTTGTGCTTTTGCACATAATTTGCCAACATATTAAACAACTGCGTTTTTATGTTATCTATATATACAAAGATATATTCATTAACACATATTCATATAGGAAGACCTGATATTAAATTTGGCGACCAGATCTTATTTACTGGTAGCCAGACCAGATCTTATTCACTGGTAGCCAGACCAGATCTTATTCACTGGTAGCCAGACCAGATCTTATTCACTGGTAGCCAGACCAGATCTTATTCACTGGTAGCCAGACCAGATCTTATTCACCCCTGTGTCAGTGGTAAATAAATGAATGGCTGAAAAACTTGACACGTAGATGTCCCAACCGGAAATCGAACCCAGCGTCCCTGGTAAAACGCACTCTGCTTAGCTAGGAGGCAAAAGGTAATTTGCTAAACCCTTGTGTCACTTCCGTTCTATGATACAAAAGTATCAAAAGAGCAAACTTACATTGAAAGCAATTTAAAAAGCGTAGGAAGCAGAGCTTCAGCTTCATCAATGTTATCTTTGGATTGAAGCACTTCAATAATAACAATAACTCTTTGCCAAAAAGGACTGAACGAATTGGACCAGTCTTCAGATGCCTCAGCTCTAAGAAATCATAAGAGAAAGTTAGGGAATATGTCCAACCCATAGATATGGCCCAAACTCGGAAAAACAAGAATTCTTGTAATCTGTAAAGGAAGAATACTGACTTGGATTTCTTGGTTTTACGTGCTTTTGGCTTCTCGTCTTCCGACAATTTATTCAGTTCGTTTTGTATTTGATCAGCAGATATACGTAACTAAATATAAACAAGTGAAGAATTAAGAAAAGTACATTTACAGAAATCAGTTTTTTAGATGCAACGGTAAAGCACTACTCTGCTTTGTAAACATGAAAGGTCAGTCGTGCGTCATAAATGTTACAATCTTCCTGATTGTAATCTTGTGCCAGCGATTATTGTTATCTGACTGGTGGAGAGGCGTACAATTATTTTAATTGTACAGCAGTACTTCAGCAGTATAATTAATAAATCAGGCGTGGAGTTTGGGAACAAATTTCAGCAAAAATATTGAAAATATAGCGGTTCAACAAATTTTTTCTTTTCTCTTCACAATTTAAGGATATTTATCAAATGAAATTCCGATTAAAATTTGTAAATGAACGGGATAAGTAAAGCATCCAGAAATGATTATTTCAAGTAAAAGAATAGTATATAATGTTTTAAAAGGCATATATGGTTGAGTAAAATTCGTAATTTTGGGCGGCTGGTGCAATGTTGGCATAAATTTAAAACATCACTCGTATTGTCAATTCCTTAATTGTACGCGCTATCACATGATACCACTGCACGTACAAAAAGTGCAACGTTTAAAAAAATGAGCGTTCATACAGCATGGTGTGGGTATGCCAATGAACATCAACTTCATGCAAGTAATGGGATTTAGCAAGATCCTCAATCAAAATGTAGGATTGCGGGAGCTTCGGGAAATATAAAAAAGAAATTTGTATTAACATGGCGTACTTGTTTCAACACATTCTTGATCTTGGTCGACATTTGAGGATTGCTCGTTTCTATAAGCACATCAATCAATTTACCAAGTACTCGACTGTGGACATGTTCGTCGTCAATTGCTTCAAAATATTCAGCGGTTATCTAAAAAGAAACAAGGTGGAATAATGTAAAGGTTAGGAAATTTGGCGATGGATTAGTCAAAACGAATTCTCTGCGTACTACGTTACAGGTTTGTGTACTCGAGTGCGTAGTTTGTTTTCGTGTATGACCGTCTACTGATACGACATTAGAGTGCAGGGTGCGATACTGTAATTCGCGTACGTAGGCCAATAGAGGTTCAGATTTGACGTCCACTACCGCTACCTCTCGCTGGCAGATTTAGTACGCATCTGATTGGTTAATTGGATATATCAAACGCATCTGATTGGTTAATGGTTCCTTAGGTAGGGGGTAATGGAAGTCAAATCTGTTGTTTACTTATATTGTGCTGGTACCATATGACCAGCATACTTTCCACAGTATTCAAAACCGTATAATTAATAGTAATGTGTAAATCTGACATGTCTTGGCATGAAACATGATTCAACGGATAGGATGGGACTATAAGAAATGTTGCAGTCAACTATATGTGTTTGTTTTTGCAGTTGTGATCCTTGTTCTAACTCGTAGTTTCAGGTTACTGAATAAATACGTTTTAAAGTTAATATGTACCTTGTCCTAAAAACTACGTATATATGCACCTTGAGTCTTAAGTTGCTATCATAATCATCGGAGTACCAGTGAGGTACGTACAACTAAAAATCTTGAATTATCGCACCCTGCCTAGATGAACTATTGCAAAAACTTCCCAGAACCACTGCCAGTACACCACGCTATCTTAGAGATTTGGTCAGAATAGTTCGTTTTGTGATCTGAATAGTTCGTCATTAAGATCCGTCTTGATGGATGATGGGCTCTATGATTGCTTTTATACCTGGTTAAGCACAGCTTCCTGTGGCGTCACGTGACCATGGAATAAAGGTTTTGAAATACTTAACAGTTGTAGAAACATCTCACAAAGCTGGGGGTCACTTTTGAGAAGGCCAGCGGTACGAGGAGTGAACTTTTGAATAAGGTACAGCAACACTTGGCTATTGTCATATGAACAATCTAATAGAAAGAAATGGAATATATGAAGTTAAGCCCTAAGACTAGGCAGAAACAATTGTCGCGAGAAATAATTTCCTGGCAATGTTTCTCAAAGATGGGAAAGAACCAAATTCTCTCAATTTGTTGGAAAACGTGTTTCAACAACGTCTCCACAACGATGTTTCCTAGCATGAGCTGGGCATTCCTTTTTAAATATATACATACCTTTTGATTTCGTGTAGGTCGTCACTATTTGTTTCATTGCACTGTGACCCGTGATGAGGAAATCCTGGAAAGGAATTGCGACTATGGCGTTATTGTATGTGAAGGAGTCAAACAACATGACAGTATAGAAAAAATATTTTCATTAGGAAATTTCTCTTTCACTCTTAGATTGCATGACTACCGCGGTCAAATGTCTGCGCGTATTTACTTCTGTATTCAAAAGACTGGAAATAGTATTTAGCAAAAAAGGAAGCTCTAGCAAAAAATTTAAAGAAGATTACGAGTGTTTAAACTCAGTATAACTTCTTCTTGACACAAGGAAAAAGAGATGAAATCTCCTACCTAATTATATACGGTAGCTTCAGTCATTTCCTTATAGTAAACGCTTTCTTTCCCGTATTTACTCTTATTATTTTGGCAGACATTTTTCCTGACATTTCCGCACACTCGCGCATACATGCGTTGATTGCATGTACTGATTGCATGATAATCCAGCAGGATTATAGAAATTACTTCTTGCGATAGTTTCTTTCCACAATTCTTTTCATATCCTTCAGGCCTTTGGGTTATATGTTGAGTAAAGGCATGCTGATTGGATAAACTGGAATTTTTCTATGAAAACGTTTCTACACAATATGGCTCCAAGTGCACGATTTTTTTCGGAAGAAATTGAACAAAATGTAATGTACATACCTCTGTATCAACTTTGTCAAGTGTTGCTAAAAGAGCCCGAGCAACATGTGAAGGGGTCTCCTCCTGTACTATGTGATTCAAAAGAAAAGCAAGTACATTCTCGCTAGCTGCGCGTTTCTTTGACTTAGATTTCCGTCGTCCACTGCTTTCAGGGGATTTACTATCATGTGATATAGACCTGTGGAACACGCTAAATATGGAAATGGATGAAAAAATCTTGAAAACTGTCAACATGAACAAGTGAACTATTAAACCTGGAAGAACATGTAACATAATTGGAAATTGACTACTACTCATTATTTAAATCTTCAAACTTGGGGATTTAGCGTTGACCGTGGTGTGGATACAACAAAGGCTGTTTGCTTGAAATGAGGAGAAGTGTTTTCCCTTTACAGGCTGAAGAGAAAGACTGTCCAAAATTTCTTATCGACTACGTACTGTTTTTATTATTGGGTACTGTATATATACCACAATTACTGAATATTGATGATAACAAGAATTTCAGGATTTTGGGCATCTACTCTCGATGTAACGAATTGTAGAAGGGTTTTGTTGATGAAAATTGCGAGTGTGAAATCATAGATATCTTATATACACTAGATAGTGCATCTAATTATTCTGCAATTCAAAAATTGAAGCCGTGATTGCAGACTCAGGATATTCCCATGAAATGAGAAGACTCGTATGTTTTCTATTTCTTAAACAGGGAACTTAAACATTAAGTTAAACCTATTCAAAATACATTTGAATAACTATTCAAATGATGGAAGTTATTGTTGTTTTTTAAGCGTTTATTAGCGAGTGGGAAACTCCAACATGGCCGCCATCTATTCAAATGGGGGTAACCGCTGGAATATTCTTGGCTTCAATTTTACTAAAAGAGATGCGCTATCTAGTGTATATAAGATATCAATGCGTGAAATAGACCGGAATCGCAGGCTCGCAGGTTCGATTCCTGCCAGAGGACCTATACTTGCATTTTTCGCAACTGCTCCTGGTCTAATAAATGTATAAAATTCACACTCGAAATTTCCATCTTCAAACCCTTATAAGAACTAATAATTGACCTGTAGATGGCATAAAATCTTATAAGAACTAATAATTGACCTGTAGATGGCATAAAATCTTATAAGAACTAATAATTGACCTGTAGATGGCATAAAATCTTATAAGAACTAATAATTGACCTGTAGATGGCATAAAATCTTATAAGAACTAATAATTGACCTGTAGATGGCATAAAATCTTATAAGAACTAATAATTGACCTGTAGATGGCATAAAATCTTATAAGAACTAATAATTGACCTGTAGATGGCATAAAATCTTATAAGAACTAATAATTGACCTGTAGATGGCATAAAATCTTATAAGAACTAATAATTGACCTGTAGATGGCATAAAATCTTATAAGAACTAATAATTGACCTGTAGATGGCACAAAATTTTACAATTTTAGGAAAATATTTTATTTTCACCTGGCGATAAATGCTTCGTCTGCAATAATTTCTTGTGACGATTCGGACACAATATTTCCCAAGATAACTACTGAGGTTTTGTCATTCGAGCGAGACGTGATTAAAGAAATAACATCCAGGACAGTTTGACGAATAGCTGTGATTGGACTCGTCAAACACACCAACAGCGATGGAAACACTGTAAAAAGATTTTTCCACAGATGTGTGAATTAAATCAATATTGGACAATACAAGAATAACTGCACTAAGCATGTACAGTATGAACAACGCAGGAAAAAAGAATTTTCTTTCTGGGAGCACAACCTGAAGACAAAAATTTCCTGCAGACCAACGGAGAATTTTTGTGCTAAATCTGCATGTACATAAATATATAATGTTCAACCATCTGTTGTTGCGCCAATAGTGGGACATGGGTGTCAAGGTTTCCTTCAAAGTTTCAATAATAAATCTTCATTCAGACGAATTTCCTGCAGTTGTTTAAATGTTAAGCTGTTTTTAATTTCCTGCGAACTCCCCTATTTTTTCCACCCTGGATTTGATTCGAAAATCGGTTATTTTCAACTAATATTATATTTGCTGTGTTGGTGTAATGTACTCAGGTGAATAAGATGCTTGTGTGATGATACTCTGAGTGTATATCCACACCGGGCAGGCTTGAAAAATATGCCTGGCCACGGTGGCTAATATTATGTTTCAGTCAAAAAATATTTTATGCGAAGAACAGAATAGAAGACTAATGAATAACGCACATATAAACTAGGATCTGTTCGGTGAAATTCAATTTAATGACCATAATTTTATTAATACAGGCACACAAATCAAAGAAAGCCACTTTACCTTGTGATTTCTCTGATGTAATTTCCGTCATGTCTTGTTCATCTATAGATTGTATTAAAACCTTAGCCACATGGAGACTTTGTACAACAACAAGAGCACTTGGAACAGGGAGATCGCCTGGAATACTCGGCGATTTCTGACGTGCAGTGCTGGACCATAACAGAGTGAGAAATTTTAGGAATTGTAGTCTTTGTGGAAATTGTGTCTAAAATCGAGAAAATGTCATACCTCAGTAAAACTATTAAAATATTCTATTCTATCTATTAAATTACAAGGCAACATTTTATTCTCCCTAACACTAGACGTAGTTATTTTTCAAAAATGAAACATGATGCTACTGTATGTTGCCTTACGGTAAACCCAGCGAGCTCAATATATATCTGGGGCGAGAACTCGAGTCCAAAAATGAATCGGCTTCGTGTTAACCGCTTTATTATTAGCATGACAAAATTACTGGATGCTGATTGGTTGAGAGGAGTACAATTATTTCATTAATTGCACTGCAGTACAATTAATGATTTTCCCAAAACAAACAAAATAGCGGAAAAGTATTTTAACAAAATACAAATGTGAAGTGAAATTGCCCTTGAGGAACTAGATGAAAATACGAACAAAAGCACCATGAAATATTGCTTTAACAAAATAACTAAACAAAAATACGAACAAAAGCACCACATTTTGGTTGAAAGTCTGGCTTTGGCGAGAGAATATGTTGACATTGAGAAGTATCCAATTTTGTCATACTAATAATAAACAAGTAATCATGCGATCATTGCGATGTTGCTCGTACAATTAGGGATTAATAGAGAGGTTAACATACCCCGGTTTCGGTGTACGTGTAGCATGATTTTAGTTAGCAATATTTTCGTCGATGTCTGTACCTTTACTCGTAATTAAGGTGCACATTTTTCGCATTATATCATTGTCTATTGCAAGAAAACAGAAAAAGTATGATCGAATTACAGACATCAGTAAAACAAGATGACACTACTCGTACCCGTATACCGAAACCGGGGTATCTTAACCTCTCTAATACCCTAATTGTACTCGCCATCGCATGATTACCTTTCCTAAACCGCGCAGACAAAAACAACAGAAAGGGACTGGAACTGACGTCCAACAGCTCCTTCAATTTCCGCCAACTTGGCAAGGAGTATACCGAACTTCGATTTAATGACTAATATTATGATTTTATGAACTGAAAACTTGATTAGTGATACGGTCCATTAGAAAAAACTGGAATTAGCTTGGTAAAAATGGTATAAAAACTGTTTACGACCTTCAGAGCTATTGGACGTCAATGACCGCCATCTTGGCTTCACTTTTCTCATTGACCGAATGACTGAAGTTCTTGCTCCAGATATATATAGAGCTCACTTGGTAGTCTCACCAAGTCTCAAACGGCAAGGACGCATTTCATTATTATTTTATTCTATCTAAAGTCAGACAATTTTGGTCACTGAGAGGACGATCCTCAATTCCCCATGTTCTCTTACCAGATTATAAACTCCTTTGTTCGACGTGAACATAGAATGGGTTTGTCATTATCATAACATTCAGATATTAAGTGTATCAGTAGTACTCATCAAACGGTCTGAAGTCAAGGTCTATCTAATACGGTAGGAATAATCTACATAGTCACATTAACTATCGTCATACACCTCATTTTCGTGATTCTATGCAGTTAATAAAGTCATAAGCAGTACCTTAACGACTGTTTCGAAGCAGCTTTTAAATTCATCTTGAAACGGAAAATCTTGTCCTTTGACTAGTCCTTTGAAAACGACATCAAAAACAGCTAACAGAATCTAGAAATGATTGCGCGAATAAAAGTTGTTAAATACATTTGGAAAATACACAATGATGTTGAATCGCGAGAGTGTTCATCAGTGTAGGTTAGAAAAGTCATTACAATATGTACCTCGTCTCACAGTTCGACTCTGCTGGATAAATGCCGTCTAACGGTCCCTCGTATACACGCCATGAAAGTTTAGTACATTCAACTTCCTTGGCCTGCACACATGACTAATTACACATACGACTTGTTATAGTCCCTTGTCTCGCGCGGGCAAAAGCGACAGCTAGTAATGGACCCATTTTCGCACTGCACCCATCTGTTACTGCAAATTCCATTCCTGTTGCGCTCGACCAATCCAATCAGCAATTTAATTGAGATGCCACAATAGCGTTCTGAAAATTTTGCATGCTTTTTGACTCACGGATGTTGCTTCTCCCGTTGCGAAGCAACATCTGTAAGTCTTTGTGGATGCTTGAGTGTGGGGCAGTTAAACAATGGGAAATGACCAGCCTGCTTTGCGCGCACTGTTTGCCTGCGGATCGGCCATGTCAGAACCGGAAATCGGGCTGGAGCACGCGTTCGTTCTTTTGATTTGGCAAAAGAAGCACGACAAATGGCAAAATTCGCACTGTGCCCGTTTGCAAAAACAACTGGAAACTGCTCTAATTCTTTCTGTCACTTTCATTTGATCTCATCCGTGAGTCGACCTCGATGGCCTTTGATTAAAGATTGCTTTCCTGTGTAATCAATGTACATATGTACCTGTACGCATGTGAAGAAAATGTATGACTGGAAAGCAGCCTTCAAAATTCCATGTTCAAATTTCACTGAATAAAAGGAAACACGAAACCATACTGTACCTTCGTATACTCCTTCTCACTATCATTAGAAATGTTCCACCAAACTGATGATTGTTGTTTAGCGAGAGGAAGACACTTGACAACATGTTCCAGAATGTAGAGATATATCCTGGATGTCACATGAAGTAATTTCTTTTCTTTCTTTCGTTTTAACATATGAAGATAATTTGCTAGTAAACCAACAGGAACAACACCTTCCTGTTGAGTCTCAACATCATCACCGTCTGAATCCTGAGAAGAGGAATGATGGTAAAATTAGAATTTATACTGAACCAGCAGTTATAAGGAATACACTGGTTTGTTATCGGGAGAGACGGCATCGTGGACGCAGGTCGCAAGATACTAAACCAAAATAATTGCAATTACACCAGATAACTTTATCAAGTATGTTCTCCTAGGGGTACAGTAAGGACAATCCCTAATCCAGCGATACTACAGTACAACAGGAATGCATATAAAAACCTACGGTATTTGTTAAAGTAAAACTTGTAAGTTGTAGTACTGTACACTTCTGAGCTGAATCATGCATCAGAATATAAGGTTGTAGAGGTGAAAGGTCAACCATTGTGCCATTTATATCCGAAGAGAGTTCGTCTCGACCATAGTCGATCGGTTAGATACTCTTTATAAAACATGCTGTCGTCACCATGCAGTGAAGGGTACTATAATTACACAAAAAAGCTCCATACCCTGGCAACTTTACTCTTTCCTTCATTTTCAACCACTGAGCTAACGAGCGCAAGCAATCCAGGCAGAAACAAAGATATAGCTTCAAACTTTCGACTGTCATCTTGGGAAATATTTACAAACTGGCAACATATCATGAGAAACATGATTACAAAAGTCTGGTCTTGTCTTCTGTTTGCATGCTCTTGCATCAATTTTATCTACAATAGAAAAGTTTTCATTGAGTTTTTATGTAGGCTTCTAAGATCATGGTTTCAGGCCAAGCATAAGAAGAGGGTTAGGGCTGTATAGTGTGGACATGTTTGGACTGATCTAGGACTAATTCACATGAAAACATTGTTCAAATTCAAGTCCTGATAACGTAACTTTATTTTGCATGTATATGTATACAAAGCATGGTCTCGGGTAAATGCCAGTCTTTAGTGTAAACACGGCTAATGTTTCGGTGTTTGATATTATGTAGGAACATCGTTGTTACTTGCACAGTGGCAAAGTAATATGATCCAACAATAGTAGGTTATTTTGTAACCTGCTATATGACATATGACACTTTAATAAAGTTTCTTACTAACCAAAGCGACTGAACATGTTACTTATTTCAATGTGACCAAAAGGGCAAAGTAATTCAATCTTCAAGATACCTTCAAATTTTTCAAAAAAGCCTTCAAATTTTTCTGTTACTGAACAAGTGCACTGAAATGTCAAACTGATGGGAATGTAATCAAAATACATTACCGTTTTCAAAGCAGACTGATTTTCTAGGGTATTCAATCCTTCCACTATGGCAGAAATAATCTTGGCATTCTCGATAGCAAGTTCTTCGAAAGTCGAGTCTTCTACACACTTTTCAAAACCTGGAACACCAATTGGAACACCACAAATATACATAAATGTCTATGCAAAACCGAATATTAACCATCAGACCAAGAAAGTTTCATTCTTTCATGCAAACCAGAGTTTTTAACATCAGCATGGCTTTTTATAAAAAGCAATTATTGTAAAATTGGCGCTTTTTACTTTCTTTCGTTCATTCTTCCTTTCCCCCCCCCCCTTTCTTTCTTGTTTTCTGACTCTCTTTGCTCATGTACTTTGGGTTGTTTAAAAGAATTTTTCTATTTATTCATTTCCCAACAAAACGTTTACCAACTAAAATCAAAACATGTAACTACGGTCCCCATTGAGGGCATTCACTGTTTTTACTTTCACTTGTTTCGCATTACATTTATACAATTTCATTCTGCATATGTCGCTGATGCATGAAACAGTTTAAAATACAACGATTTCTTGCTACACAGTCATTAATTAAACAGATTCCTAGACATTTACTATCTATACGTACCTTCTCTCGAACGTTTCTTTCGTAAGCTTTTTACCATCCAGTGCGTCTTCAACTGCGATTTCCCTAATCGATCAACAACAAGTTTAGCGCGATCAATGCTCTTTTTCTTCAAAAACACGAATGGCAGGAGATGAAACAACACGCTTTCTTTTATACTTGACATTCTCTCCAACATGTCGTTACTCACAAAAATATCAAGTGCTTTTTCAAATACGTCTGCCCTAACAAGAGAGGAAAAGACCATCATGGAATTAAAATTATTAATGCTAGAAAAATTGGCGGTCTCGGGTCCACAGAAAATAATGTTTCCCTCGGTCCTATAAGTCAATAAGTATCAATTATTATATGGGTGACAATCTGCTTTGTGGAATGCAGGCCCATAAATAGGATTGGGATTTTCAGGCGAGGCGCGAGAAACTTTGGAGACTGGCGGCATGCTCTCCCCCCGAGCATATTTGATTTTCTGTAAGGCTTAGAAACGTTACTTCCGGCATTCTGAGCAGTTTTAACAAAAATCAATCTCACAAACAGTGACACAATGACTAAAATTTTATAGTCCATGTCACAATTGTATGCCAATCCCGAGAATTACAATATTGTTGGTCCAACATGGTCAGGTGTATGATAATAAAAAAGTGTTTGTGGTAATATTTATGACGCTAACCCACACTTCTATGGGTTATTGGGATACACCCACCAAATTTGATATTTAAATTGAGCCTTTCATCAGAAATTTAATAAATTCTATTCAGTGAGAGCCCTGTTTCGCTCAACCTTGCTATGCCCCCCCCCCCCTGTTATTTATTGTTACATTGATTTGTTTTGCATTACGAATATACTGTAACATTGCATTATTCAGTTCAACGTTTCCGTGTAACCTAAGGAAAAATTGGTGTTCCAATTACTTTTTGATCATACAAACCATCCCAGTGGAAGGAAACAAAGAATTCCTGTGACTTTTTCATAGAAAAAAGATGTATTGGCTTTACGTCATTATGTGACATGGTTTCATTGTATGATTTCTTGCATACACATTTCTATGTAGTTAACTTTGCTTTTCAGTTTCTCTGTGTCAAATACTATCTAGTGCTTGTTTATATCATGATCACACGTGATTCTTACAAGATAGTTCATCATTCACAGAGTAACTTCTCAAAGTAAACAAGAGTATACTGCATTTATACAGTAATATACAAGAATACAATATAGACTGTAAATAACTATGTTCTTCTCAATAGACATATTACATACAATACAATCGAGGTGCGCACCTCCCCTGAGATCGTTTTGCACCTCCCCTGAGAATTTTTGCACCTCTCCTGAAAGGTCATGCACCTCCCCCTGGGAAAGTTTCAATGATAGATCAAAGTGAAAATACAATACATACAACTATAAAGATAAATTTTAACACATTTAGCTTACCATGTTTGTGAGGACTTTTCCATCAACTTAATTAAAGGAAGAACTAGAGGCTCGCCACCACAAACATTGATTAGTCCCTAAGTGGAAAACATTAAATTGATCCTTGTGATGTTACTCTGAGTGTATTTGCACACCGGGCAAGCTTGAAAAATATGCCTGACCACGGTGGGAATCGAACCTACGACTTTGGAATACTAGCCCAATGCTCTGCCAACTGAGCTACGCGGTCTGGTCGGTTCGAGTATGTGATATTTCGAAACAGAATTTAGTTCCTTCGATATCAATCTTCACTCTAAACTTGCAAATAATTGAGTACCTCACTCAATTCTAACACAGCAGACACGACTGTAGGATCTTCGTCATTCAACTTCACCAGCAGTGATTCCTTTAAGAACTGGTTATCTTCAGAGTTACGCTTAGTTAAACAAATAAACAATTAATCATTTATTTACAGTACTTACATTGTATTGGCATGAAGGTACTGTTTATACAGTATTTAGGTACTTTTGGTACCATTGAAGGTACTGTTTATACACATGTACAGTAGCCTCAATGCGGGCAATCTGGGGCAAACTGCAGAATCACGCAATATTTGGCATAACAACTCGTAACAGGCGATTGTGAGTGATACTGCAACTGGTGAAACTACGAGAGTCTGAAAATAATCACTCGCTGGACCCCCCCCCCCCCTTTACCCTTTTTTCGAGGAGAGAATAGCCTGAGCACGTTAAGTGGATGTTATGAGGTACGTAGAACAACGCCTCCCTTTCCTGTCCATATAAAAATTGCTTCGTAAAATAGAAATTGCATCAATGCATACTAGCGTAGTTTTATTTTCCAAAAGGTGTGGTTTACTGGGCTTCAAGATCTATATCTACCTAGCTCAGCCCAGTAGAAAAATCCTAACAAACCTAATCATCACAAAAATATGTAGATTAAAGAAAACAAGGACTAGCAAGAACATGCTTGCAACTATGGATTCAGTTGGCGGCATTTCGTCCTTATCTTACCATGGGTTCTTTCAGGATATCAGAAACTTTCTTGAGAGCGAGTTTCCGATATTCCGCTTCGGGATGATGTAATGCAATGACCAGAGTTGACCCAGAATCACAAACAACCTTGAATAGAGCAACATATAAACGTATGTATACAAAATCATAAAAATATCCCGCTATAATTATTTACACACTAACATTAAAATTTAGATTTTAGGGAAACATTTTCGTTGAAAGAAAACATTTCTGCAGTCGAGTGAATATTCATAAATTTAACCTAATAAAGAGGAATGGGGCACTTAGAATATTATTTTGGACATTGATGCATTCTTTTGCTGTAGTTTTGGGTTAACCTATTTAACCGCAAGGTTAGTTATAGTAGTTAACCTTTCATTGATTCAACATTACCACAGACACACATTACTCACTTGTACAGTAGATATCGGTATACATGTACGTGAGATCATTTTTAAAGTTTAACTAACGAGTCGCACATATGAGCAGACAGGCGACGAGGTGCATAGCACCGAGTTGGCTATCAATCATATATGACAAGAGTGAGTAGAATAACTGTTTTAACTTTTATTATTTATAGTGGATTCACAAGATCTGTATGAAATATTTTGACAGTTAGTTTAGCAATCCACACAACTTGCCTTTTCGAGCCACCATCTTGTTTTTTTCTACTGGCAGGATATGAGCTATTATAATTATACACTCACATGCCATTGGCATTGACCAATCACGGGTCTTCAATAGGGTTACGATGTACGACAGTACATACTGGACAGTTGCTTATCGTTGTCTTTTTCCTGGTGTTTTGTCAATTTCAAACACACAACAAACGATATGGCAAAGTAATGAAAGGGAGTTGGAACTTTGCCAGTGTACTGTAGGTAGTGCCAATCAAATGAACAAGCTTTCGTTGGTCGGGATGAAGACGTCCACTCTAGACAAAGGGCCTACGCTCGAAACGTCGAAATTGTCCTTATATATTTTCAGGTAGTAGGAACATTAACTACTAAGGCCGTTTTTTCTACCAGTTTGGTTACGTGAAATTGTGCTTTTTATGCAAACTTGATTTAAAAACAAGTTTATTAACTTTTTTGTTTAGTTATTAAAGCAAATTCGCAGTCGATGTGTGATAATGTTATCGCTGTATTATTCTCGCTGTATTATCGCTTAGACATTTTTCGATATAAAATCATTGTCCGCTATAATAATACACTTATTAGATTCAACGTCGCCCAACATGGCAAATATTAAGTCTCGACTTAATATTTTGCCATTTGGGGCTCAGACAGAGCTCAGAATAATTATATCCGGTAGTTGTCTATTTAATAAACACCGTTATCCGTTACATTTCTGTATGACTTTTTAAAATAAACCTTTAACAGTTAGTTTAACCATGGATAATAAATAATTATTATCCAATAATAAAATACAATGTATTAGTTATTTTACAATCCATGGTTTAACCGATGGCGATGGAACTTAGTTCATTTCAAACATTTCGTTTTAATTAAAGTTTATTACCAACTCGATCGCTATTTCTTGTTACTGTAGGATCTAACTTGCTACAATTACCTAACATAGGCACTACTTCAATTTCGTCTGATGCCCAAGGCGTTACCTGACACTAAATATAGTTTTCGTTACCTGACTGCCAATATTTGACAAAGCCATTGAAACAAAATCCTGAGTCCATTGCAGATTTATCTTCTTCTCATTTTCAGATATTTCTTCATTTCGCAAACTGACCAAATAGTTTTGAACGGTTTTGTCTATTTCTCTTTGCCATCTGCGCAGGTATAATATATTAATTAGTGTAGTCCAGTAATTTCCCTGCCCCTGGAGCACAAATAGCGTGCTATATTTACACAAATTTAGTGCTATATTTGACAGGGTCACGCTACAAGGATGCACAATTTGAATGAAAGGGCTACAACCCGACTCTAAAGAAGGGTCCCATAAAACAGACACCCTCCCAAATTGTGGGATACTATCAGCTTAGGGTTATGGGCAAGTTGCCAACTGTGCTCCTTCTGTTATGAATTGGAAATGAGTACACATTGTTTGTATTCAATTCCTAACAGTATTAGTTACCCAAATTTCAATTAGTGTTAAGTATAATATTGGACACTATCATTCTCTTATAAATATAGATATCAACATCTCCTGTACCGGTACCTATTTTGAATGATCCTCACCATCCTCTTGACACTGGATTCTAGTTCAGTCAAATTCGTTTCGTTTTCAATTGATCTTCTTCTCAAAATGTATTCATTTAGAACATGTCTACAAAACATAATTCAAAACAATAAAAAACGATCGGGGGTAACAACTACGTAATGCAATAACTCGGCGTCAAACGTTTCTTCACATGCATGTGCTTGTTGGATAAAGTGAAATACGAGTATATAACATCAATTTTGATGCAGATAAGGGGAATTTCCATCTTGTACTGTACAAATTTGTCCCCTCCCCCATCATTTTTTTAATTAATGGTCCGCCCCTTACAAAGATCACGTTGACGCGATCCTAATGAGACAAATAAATGCACCTCGTCGCAGAAAAAGTGAAGTCCCATCAGGTCTCATATAAACACAAGGAAACGTCCGGTCTGTCTCATATAAAAATCACCCAGCTACTGCTAGGCGCACAAACATAAAAAAGCCGTACAATTTACAAACATTTGGTATTGACTCCCGCACATTATTACTTTGTCCTGTGTCAGATACTATCTAGTGCTGTTTATATCATTATCACAATGATTCTTTACAGATATTTCATCATTCACAGGGTTGAGTTGTTCACTAAAGTACAAGGAAAATATGGGTTGAATTATGGTACCACAAAATTATGAGCAAGAGACATCAAAATTTTCACCAGCGTGTTCACCAATTATTCGGCCTCAAGTAAAGATAATTACAGTATTTTTTAGTTTGCGTTAAGTCAGTGTTAAGCCTGGTTCACATTGATCGGCGATGTTCTACGATCCATTGTCTGTGAGCAACGAAGAAGAAAATGCACAAAACATTTTATGCATCAATGACCACCGACAATGGGCATCGCCGATGTTTACGATCAATGTGAACCAGGCTTAACACTGATCATCACTTCAGACATTGAGTTGCAATCTATACAATGAATTTGCATAAACCACTGATCTAAAAACTAAGCCTGGATGGTGCATCTGTAAGCATAAATGAAGTCAAAGGCAGCCATATTATACAGTATATGGTATGTTTGAAGAGGTTTTACATTTTGGGGTACAGTTATATCAATATGGTCGCTCGCGTTTCAGAAGTATTAAAATTTAAAAACGTTTTAAGTTAAAACCCATTAAAAGAGCACAGCTACATCTTTCAAGTATATCTGATCTTTGAACTGCAACTAGTTTTTCTTGTGATGACATGAACTTAATTCAGCTTGCGCACTTCTAGCAACATTTTTGAGTGGTCAACATCGTAACTTGCCAAGTTTCAGTGTGCACAACGCAAGTCTATATACAGCGGCAACAACTACATTGGGGTGATCATCATCTCTAAATGGAGGATGCTGTTGGTCGCTTGTCCCTGTTACTTTGCCACCATCCCATTCATTTAATATATGAGCTACAGTACAGTCAGGCCTCGAAATATATCTGGACGTTATACCGGTTATTATGACCGGTGAATCACTAAATTTACCGGTCACAGCGGAATTTATTCCGGTCATTGTCACTCCTTAGCTCCTTTTTCCCCTCATCTTTCGCGAATCATTACTAATAACATTAACATTGTTTACTAGCAAATTAATATATTAAGTCGCAAATGACAACTGTACTTTGAGTTGCGAGCATGCTTTAAGGCTGCATTTCAGTTACGCGTTTTTCATATGTGTATGCATACACGCACGTAAAAGTTGAAATTGCTTTACATCCTACTTATGAAATAACTAAATTTATAAAAGGACAGCATTCAGTTTCATGTATGATTTAATGTGTATTTGTTAAGGTTATTTGTACTTATATGAAATTTTAAACGATTTAAACTTTTCCGTCGCACGTGTGAAAAACGCGTAACTGGAAAACAGCCCTTAGGCACAATGTTTGCGGTATATGTATCTGTATGACAAAATGTGTCACTTCGCCGCCCTTACTTGCCTGCACTGTAGACGGACATACACTTCTTTGGAAAGTTGTTAATAAAAAATCTGCTCCATTTTTGAACGTAGTTTTTTATTAAAAAATTTACCGGTCACGCATGTCCGCCTGGCGACGATATTTGCCGGTCAAACTGTGAAATTTTACCGGTCACTGACCGGTGACCAGCACTTATTTCAAGGCCTGGCTACAGTATACAGTAGTTCCTTGGTATTTCAATTGCGTTCTCTTGACCTTCATTGTGGATTCATCTAGTCTGGTGTTCTACTCCAACTACATCAGCAACTTTCAGAGGCAGCATTTGGGGGAGGAGGGCACATTAATTAATATTCATTCGAATTTTTTGTTACACCTGTCTCATGCTCAGTTTATCTGCCATTTTGGGGTCTGATTCCCCCTAGTCTGAAAGTGTAAACGTCTGAATAGATTTAAAACTTTGTAATCTCACTTTCCACATTGTTTAATTTAATTTAATTAATTTAATTGTCTACACTATTTACCACAAAATTTTGGCAAATATTGGCCCGTTTCAGGAATGGTAACTGTATTATTAATTTAATATTACTTTCGAAACACTTTTTTTACTTTTCATTGGAACAAATAAATTATTAAGACGGGTCAAGTCTTATCTCAATAAAATTCTTGGGGGAAAAGGCCCCTCCCACAAAACCTTTCACACAAGGCAGTTTCTGCACAAGGTACTGTAAATTGATTATTTCATTAATGAATTACTTCCCTTAGCAAAACCAAGGCAGCAATAAAGAGCAGTGGCCTATCATTTTCATCTGAAGTCATCATTAGTCCATGATGACAATACCAGTATTTAATTTTAGAATTATGATAAGGGACCATGAAGAATAAGCGTTATGGAATTTGGGTATTGAAGTAACTGGTCAAAGCTTGCATTTGGCCAAAACAATGTGGCAAGAACGTCTTTGTTTTGAAATCATGTTGTCAAGCAGCATCACAAAATTTCCTGTACTTGCAGAATATTATTGCTTAGCTGGTAGACAGACTACATGAACTAAGTTTCTACAACCCAATAACCATACAACAGTAAAAAGAGAACATATTTCCTCACCCGATGACTTCTGTTCTAGTTGTTTCAATTACATCAACATCTTTGAGCAAATTATTTAACAATTCGGTTTCTTTGCCACCTTCTTCATCCATGGACTTTTTTACAAGATGAAATATAAGAACTTTCAAGAAGGAATCCATCTGATATCTCTTTGATAAATCAGGAAGTATTGTTCCTATGTTTGGCAGTCCACATAAAGTTTGGTAAACCCTAAAGACAAACCTCAGATGTTTTGCAAAAAAATACCAGTATATAAAATACATGCTTTCAGAAAGTATGTCACCTTGGCTATAGTCTCGTTTTCATGATTGGAGACGTTAGGCTCCAACTGGTGTCACATATTGTACACAAAATTGAGGCTCAACAGCCAAAGTGACATACTTTCTGGAAAGGTGTATTTAAAAATTAATTAATGAATATGAATGCTTAATAATGTATGATACAGTAAATATATCTAACCCTGAAATTAGATTATTTGAAGTAAATTTACACAATCTTTGTTATAAAACAAAGAACAAACATACTCCAAATGTAAGTATCTTGTGTACTTAACAATTACGTAATCAACAAGACACACTAAGGTATACTGATGATGTCATCATTCCTTGGGTCACTCATACACTCTAGCTCACTTTGTTATTGCAATATACTGTTCAGTATATGTTATTGTCCGATCAGTGGCGTAACTACTATGGGCTCAGACCGGGAGAACCCGGGGGTCCCAACCCCAATGGGGGCCCCCAGGCTTAGGCGATAGAGCAAAAACATTGGCCAGGCCTCTGATATGTTACAATGTCGTTTTCTGACCATCAGAATTCTGTAAAATCTCTCCCCAAAGTCCAGGAAACGGCATTTCAGAGAGTCTAGATTCAAAAATTTTCCGGATGAGCATGCCCTGGACCCCCTAGAAAACTCGTGCATATACGGCGCTCGACTCGTGCCTTTGGCACTTCTAATAGGGGGCCTTCGAAAATTTTGAACCGGGGGCCCCCTGATATAACGTTACGCCACTGTGTCCGATAATGAGTGAGCGAGCAACTTTATTTAATGAAAGCTAGTAGACATTGAAACAGCAAAGCTGATAAACTAGTTGGCCTGATTTTGAAATAAAGTTGAGATATTATCATATGCTGTATCGTATCTTCTTGAGTTCTTGTTGACTACTCATTGGAATCTTGAATGCACAAAATGAAATGTCAATTGATATATTATCCAAATGGACTCCAATTAGTTTGCAAAAATTAATTTTCTGAAGTGAAAAATATCTAAACTGCTATATTATCAGGACTTCTATTTTGTTATATTGATTGGTTTTTGTGGTTTTTGCAACCATAACAGTCATCACACACTGGTGTGCCAACCTCATACTCATGTTATTTTCTCTCATACTGCTTGTGTACAACAAATTTTAAAAATTAAAACCAAGTAAAACCTGCACTATGGTATGCATGCTTATTAATCTGACAATCTTACACTTTTGGGAATCTGATCACCCTGTGACTTGAACATACACAATTGATGCACATTAACAATGACTCTGAAAGTTGCACACTGGCATTCTATAAATGAAACAAAGGATACTGTAAGATTCATATTTAATTTAGTACTTCTGAATACTTCAAGATTGTAGTTTGGTTGTTATTAATGATTATCTTAATATCTTACCTACATTAATTTTATAAAATTTACTATCTTATTACAACTGAACAGTAACTCTGCTAATGAAGGGCCTTTGTTCAAAACATGAAGAGACTATTGTCAAATAATTGCATGGCCTCATAATCCCGGGTGATGGGGTGGAATTAATAGTGTACGTCCAAAATTCTGTCTGGCTGTCCATCCCTAATCATTACCGATTTGCTGACTGTGTTTTGTTTTGTAAAGCAGCATGTCTCCCTCAGAGACTTGGACATTACATTTTATGAAATTTTGGTTAAATTAATTCACTGTTTTTGATGTAAAAACTTATTTTCTCCTTACCAAGATATTTTTAGTTATGACTTGAACAGGTGCCAATTTTGTGTTTCAGGGCAGAATATGTACAATAAATTTTAATTAATATTTCACTTCCCTCCCAAGTCTATCATTGTACCACAAATGTTCCAAACTTTGTTGCGAAGTTCGTTGCGAAGTTCTCAAGTTTGTTGCGAAGTTCATATTGGAATTCACAAGCCAATTTATAAACAAAGTCCCTGATTGGTATACAGATATATAATAATATGTGGTAATCGAGTGAATCGACCCTGAAGTGAAACAATCCAATCAAATGCATAGTTTACAAACTGGTTTGTGAATTCATTATAAACTTTTGAATTTTGCAACAAACTTGCGAACTTTGCAACAAAGTTCGAAACATTTGTGGTCAAATTTCGTGAAATTGACTGTAACAATATAAATGAACAAGAACTAATACAGTGAATATTGACAATTAACCTCCTCTCTCACATTACACAGTTTGTACACCTGTCAGTGAAATGCTGATCCCAATTAATCCTAATCTGCAATGCATTATATTTTGTTTGATGCCAGCAATTTTAATCATCAAGTGGAAATTGTTTGGTGTTGATGGGTTCAATTATGGTCTATTTTCCAATAATTATTATCATCCTATTGCATCGACTATCATTATGCCAAACAATTTTACTTGACAAGCCTAAAATTCTACAAATGGAGAGTCGAAGTGTGGGGCAATTAATTTAAATCTGCATGGTTATGATTTGTATATGCTCGAGGGATTACAGCATCTCAAACTACGTGAAAAAAAACACACAAGAAGTCAGCATTTTGAGCAAAGGCCCCTCACCTGGAAATGTTAGTGACAAACCTGGAATTTGGGGTCATTCCAGAAAAGATCCAAACTCACACTATGGAGGACATTTCTGGCATCCAGTGTGAAAGGGTGGAAATCAACGTCTATGATAGTAAAATGTAGCAGGATGCCTGAAGGGGGAGAAAGGTTAACTTCCAATTTCATCTGTTGGGGAGGTATGGATGTTTTGTGGAATTATGACCCAATTAAAGAATTTGGGATGCAATTTTGGATGTATTTGGAAATGCAAACAGAAAACAAATTGGGTCATTCCAAAAAACATGATCCCACTCCCCCATGTTGTCTCTTGAAAAATGTGTTTCTGATAATAGTGTATCAGGTCATCTGAAGGGGGTAGGGGGTTAAATTCCAATTTCCTCTTTTGGGGAGGTATGGGTGTTTTCTGGAATGATCCACTAAATTGAAGTGGAACACATTGTTGAACATTTTCCAGACATGTCTGTTCAAAGATTACATACATACCTTACACATTATTTTAAGAAGTGATTCAATAACTGAAGATTCCAAAACACATTTTGTTGTCAATTGTCCAATGATCATATATGAAGAAGCTTGTAGGTCCAGAACATTTGACTTTAAACCATGAATCATCTGAGCAAGTAATGAGGTCACCTTTTCTTCTGAAACCTTATCAAGTCTATCAAGAACACCAATGACAGTCGATGCATAAAACGATGAAAACACACGGTACGCATTAAAATCTTGGTTAGTATTACTTTTGGTTTTACCAACATTAAACACCAACCCAGACAAAAATGTGAAAAATGCAGGGTTAGAGATACAATGTTGTATGATAGTGATACGTGGTAAAGGACAGCCTGTTTTCTGAACTGATGTTAGCCATGACCATTTAGTATTTGTAAGGTTTAACAACTGCACAACACGTGCGAATACATTTGACTGGTGATATGGAAATACACAGGACAGCAAATCATCAGTATTATATAGATGCACTTGGTAGCGTCGTATTAACCATTCTAATGTTTTATGAGCTGGTTTAAGTAGAATATAGGGAGATAGGAAACGTAGGTAATCTTTTAAATTGTTGTCCAACTTGTCATTGAGCTCTTGAGACTGTAAATTTCGTTCAAGATGTTTAGATGACTCGCTAAAAAGCAAAGTTTCAAAATTTTCAAACTGCAAATTCACAAGCTTTAATTCGTCCAGACCGTTCAAAGCCAGAGCAAATATGGTTTCATTATCAATGTCAGAAGCTTCTTTCGGATCAAAAAGAAACGAAGTTTTTTTCTTAAACTTAGTAGCTCTTTCTAATGAACTACTATCAGGAATTCGCAGTCGTTTCAACTGCTTTTCCAAAGACGACATCTTTGCACGTGTATTTTGTAACTTGCCTCCTCGACAGGCATCGCCTTTAGATTGGCAGGCAATATTTGATTGCGGGCAAAAAAGATCTAAGGGGCCGATTGGCCTTGTCCCGCCACTGAAAAATAGGTACGCTAAGCGTACATGTCTGCTCATGGTGATGCATTGTATAAATCAATACTCAGTAGCTTGTAACAATATTAAGAGACTGATGTTTAAATGAATATATTTTTTCTATGAACATTAATACAAATATATATTATACACAGTTGACTAGTTAAATGATCGAGGTTAGATTTACACAGGGTTCGTACATGTGAAGAAGAGTCAAATTCAAGGCCATGTATGTCATGTATCAGCAAATTCAAGGACTAAATGTCACTAAATACTGAAGAAAAGGGGTTAGAAATCAGTAAAATCTGACGTTGAATTGTTCAAAATGCAACTTTAATTAAGGAGTTTCAAACATTTTTGTCAGACAGCCTTTTTATACATTTCTTTGGTATTAAGAAACATACATATCATATGCATTACATTATTCCACATTTTGGGCAAAATTTGTAGTCTTTGGCACCAGAACAGCCACACACTGAGCAAAACATTTTGATAAATTTCCTTGACAGTTTGACTCTCAACCGCTCTCAACAAACACTAGGGTTCACAGCGCTACAAGAATGGCGGGAATGCGCGGGATCTCCAACCACGAGTGTAAAAAATTAACTTTATTTCACCCGTGACTTTTTATTTTGTCATGAGTTAATTTCGTTTTGCTGTGAGTTAACTTTTAATATTTTCCCGTGAGTTTAAATTTTGTTTTGCCATTGCAGTTAATTTTATTTTGCCGTGGCTAAACACTTACTTACTTACTTTTTACGTTCGCTTTGACACTTCTAGGTTTACCCGAAACTCTTCCAAGCTTGGTGGGATTGACGGATCACTTCAATTAGCTAATCAGATTAAGAGCTTTTTTGGATCGTGATCTGATTGGTAAAAATGAAGGCGGACCAGAAAGTAGACGGGTACCTAACAAAATGGCGAAATAGCTGGTATCCGGCGTGAAACTAAAACTTTAGAACTACAGTTTAATTTAGGTTTTTAATCTTGTATTGTTTTTAAATTTGATATGACATAAAAAAGTAGTAAAGATACATTTTTATAAGTTAGATAAAAAGCACAAAAGACACTGCTAACATTTTTTAGTCGCAATTCAGTTGATCGGTAAATTAGAAGATCTGTTTTATATCGAATGGTTAGAAATAAAATTTTTAAAAAGAAAAGTGCCTCATCAGTCCATACTTCCCGACTCTGCTAGCCCGTATTGGTCAAGTCCGTCTCGTGCTGACCGCTAGAACGCCGTATGTTAACGTTTAAGCTAGATTTCGGCTAAACTCAACGCTATCGTCAGAGGCAGGGAATAGGTGGCTTACCAACCGGTATCGAACGAACGACGGGGGAGAGTGCCGGCGGCCCCCAGACCATTATGCCTGGCGCCCTTTTCGCAAGATCCTATGATCGGTAACTACCACACACAAGTAATAGTAACAGTTCTGTATATAAGTACGTTACGGTTGCCTGGTGTGGTGCATGTGGGACGCTTTAGCTCGGTGTTTACCAAACCTTTGAAACAAACGCATGTGCGATAACTTGACACTCGGGTAAACGTAGCGCATGCGTGGGCATCATCCAATCATGACGCAGGAAAATTTCGCACTGGTCCCGCGAGTTCGAGACACGTGCGAGACGGCTCAAAAATTTCAAAAAATTATTTGTTTTCAAAACAAATTCAGTGAAAATATATATTATTCACATGTATTTGCTTGTCGAAGGTTAAAATTTAAAGACTATGTCTCCAAGACGATGAATCGACTGGAAAAGGTGAAGTGAAATCTACACCGTCAATTAACCAAGAAAGAGGTCGCGCCCCTGTTGGTTTCTACTTTCTAGTATTTCTTGTGCTGACACGAAAGGTACAAAGCTTTATATTTTGTACAGTCTGTTTTGTTTCCTTTTTTGACGATAGTCTTGTCTAAAGCTTGCTTCAAAAGAGGAAAGTTCTTAGTTTGGCTTGACTAGTATTTCTGTATTTGTATTTATGAATCCTATATTTAATAATTATTAACTTCCTTATTGAAATCTGGATAAAAGTTTCTAAAATCTTGCACATAAGTGTATATTCTTGCATACAGAAAGTATCTCACTTTGGCTATAAAGCCTAACGTCAATCACGAAAAGGATGGCCAAGGTGTTGTCGGTACTTTCCGGAACTGTGTTCAACCGTGTTTAAATTATATGATTCAGCTAGGATATATGAAACGTTGGACAGTAATATACCGTAAACCTTAGAATATAACACCCCCCAGTATAGGCCCCCTGTGTATAAGCTACTATATTCACTAACACGTAGGCCATTCTAAATATAAGCCCCCATGTTTTAAAGCCGGTTGGTTAATTAGGACAGCGACATGCAGTGATTCCAACGGGTCAGACAAGTTACAATAATTAGATTACAGTATTGCAATGTATAGGTTATACACTGTATGCTTGTATATCGATCATTTCATCACAACCATGTATACCTGACATTTGCAATTGGTATAAAGTCAGACTGGAAGCACTCTGTACCATGTGCAACATTCAAATAACGATGCATATTACAGGAATTAAAACAGGAAATCAAACCACAGGTGGAAGGTATATACGCACTAAATATTCTATTGATACTATGGAATATTAATTGTTCTTTCAGATTTGTATTAACAAGAGTTGACATATGCATGCTAGTGTGAAACGAAATGATGGAGAACCGCTGGAAATTCTAGAAAGGTGATGCAGCATTGTGGCTTTGAATTTAGTTAATGTTCCCCAAGTTAATTAGCCTATCATTCAATCTGTCCACTGCCGTCCATTATCAATCATTGAGATTTTGTTAGCATCTTGCTCGATTCAACAGTTGAAGTGTGTTGTTGATGGAAATTATTGAGTGGAAATTTATATTGCATTAATTGCAACATTTTATTAGGAAGACCTATTAACCAGTATGCCAACAAATTCTTAATATTTACCCATAACCTAAAACATGGCAGCATCTAACCCTATGTTTATATATAGAGGAGCTTGTGGTTAGAGCTTGACAACTGGCCTGTGCACCTCAGTTGGTTGGAGCACTGCACCGGGATCGCAGGGCATTCGGTTCAATTCCTGCCAAGGACCTAAAGTTACATTTTTCACAGCTGTTCCTGGTTAGGTCTAATAAAATGTATATAAATTTCCACTCGATAATTTCCATCAACAACACGCTTCAGTCAATCATTCAACCAACCATTTAATTGACTCATGGACCTCTAGAGGCCTTTGTTTGAAAATAATTTTGTTGCCGATATACCTGGGATGATTCATGTTGGAGATGATATCACTGTCGTCAATGTTCTTCCTTAACCCAGTCAGAGCCAGCGCTCTCCCCTCTACCAGTAAAATCATCTGGTGTTAGACAAAGGGTTAATTTTTTCAGAAATAATGGCACTCTATGTCATATTTAAAAATAGCAGGATCGTAGCTAGACGTGGTAATTGGGGATATATTCATATATTCATGTTCACATTATAGAGACCTCAGACCATCCCCCTCGGAGTCTGTGAGGACTGACATCAGGACTTGACCATACTCATTCCCAACATTAGTGCACCAGGCAGCTGTCCCACAGGCAGTCCCAGCCAACTTTTTGATGATCTAAAACGAACCGCAATATTATCTCACAAACAATCATCATTATTTTTTTTTCTGTGTTGGTGTAGTGTACTCAGGTGAATATGATATTTGTGGTGTTACTCTGAGTATATATCCACACCGGGCGAGCTTGAAAAATATGCCCGGCCACGCCGGGCGAGCTTGAAAAATATGCCCTTGAAAAATATGCCCGACCAAAGGTCGTAGGTTCGAATCCCACCGTGGCCGGGCATATTTTTCAAGCTCGCCCGGTGTGGATATATACTCAGAGTAACACCACAAATATTATAATCATCATTATGTTCATTATATATGTACAGTACAGATGAATGTGCCCTGCAAACAAAAAAATGTGATTAGAATTGGGCAATTTTCTTATTTCAAATTTTATTATACCTTTTTAGTAGAATTCATTTTCAGGATTTCGCCAAAAGTTGATGTAATTTTAGCTCTTGTATCCAAGTTGTCCCACAGTCTGATTATTTCGTCGGATTGGGTATTCATTAATACCATATTGGAATCCGCGAACAACACTAAGAAAGTTGCCGAAGCAGTGACTTTTTTAAAATCCACTAAATGTATGTTTAAAGACGATTATAATTTAATAAACAATTATTGGATGAGGCTAAGCATGATATCAAGAATTATTCAGACTGAGGTCAATGTTATCGGATAACATTGACCGAGGTCTGAATAATTCTTGATGTCATGCGAAAGCCGAATCCAATAATTGTTTTACTATACATTTAAAGACATATGAAACGTATAAAACGATTAAACGAAGTTTATTACTGTTTCAAGTATATTACAACAATACTGCAATAAAGTAGAAAACGAACACTTTTACGCGCCGGGGCTTGGGCACGACAGCGTCCTATAATAATTTTTTGTTTGGATGCAAGTTCGATCCAAAAACTGTTATTGGACGCTGAGCCCGTCAGCAGCTGAAATTACGTATAAGTACCGAATATTGAGAATTATCCGGTGCTCTCTGACAAATCAGAAACGAGAATACATACTAAATGTACAATAATTGTTGTTGCTGCCCTCCATTTTAAATACCTTAGGTGAAGGTCTTTCCCTTTGGTCCATACCACTGATACCAGAGTCGTGACAAACACTAGTACGTTCAGGTTGATTACCTATAAAACAGAACATGGAAGTGATATTAATGAGTGAACAGTAATTTGTCTCTGGACTCAAGGTTTCTATACTGTACCATCTTGCTCCGAGAAATCATCAGGAAAACACCGTTGTTGACCATCATCAGTCTCAGACAGCGGTTCAGAAGAGGGGTCGGCCACATCATAATCGTCACACCTGTTTTCCAGCACCTCACCAGTCTGACTAAACAAGTATTCCACTCACCAGCCATCGCCAACACCACAGAGTAGGTTTCTGGACCAGTCATCACACCAGAAACGGCACCAGCTGTACGATCAGCATTCCACCTAGACAAACCTTCCAAAAGGTATGCTTGGAAGCGAAGATCACTGGCACTTGTACCTGAAACGATTGACGAGAAATAATGAGTTACTTATTGTTTAAGGTGGTTTTCACATGGGATTTTCAACTGCAACTGATCGCAGAAGCTCACCAACCTGGTATGAACCTGTTCAGGTGCAGGTGGAATGACTCTAAAGATGTAGATCCTCTGGCACATCGGTACGTTGGTAGCTGAATGCCACCCTTAGTATGAGTTTCAGTCTGAACATAAAGTTGCACATCGTCAGGATCTTGGATACAGGCAATATGCATCTTCTGCGATTTCCACGTCTCTCACGTTTGATCGTTTGTCCAGCAAAGGAACGCCCAGGGTGTCACATCCTTGAAGGCCAAAGAAGGTGACAAGAAGAGAATGCAGTAGCTCGGTGGTCTCTACTGTGTCACGGGTTTTCCTCCGATAGTGAAGAGCCAATTCCCGTCTGGTGATACCTTCTATGATGTCTGCATCTCCTGGATTGGCGATATCTTGCTGGAGGAGCTGGGTAAAGGTCTTCCTTCCTCCAGTGGAAAATGCACTGAGACATGCGGCTCACTTGACCCATCTCATTTCCAACGTAGGTCGCCCATGAAGCAGTACCAGAACTGTGTCCGCTAGCTTCTTCACGATGTTCTTGGTCGAGTCCAGTTTGATGATTCGGCCAAAGGTGGACGTGATGGACGCCTTGATGTGATCGACTCTGGACATGATATCCTGCACATACACAGTGAGGAACCACTTGTACTTGGGAACTGGTACAAACTTGGGGGGCTCTTCGAACTCTTTGGCTATAATAAGACCACTCTTCGAGGCTTCAGCGAAAAATTTGCACTCGGTCAAGTACTGAATGCTCTTCTGGAGCCATTTCTCACTGTGCTGTTCCGACAATTTCTTTTGCAATACGGTCGAGCTATTGCCAAGACTACGCTGTCGTAGAAGTCGAATCACCTTGACATCACAGGCATACTGGTAGGTAATCAGGACCGGAAACTGGAGTTGATGACCAGGATCGAGCTGTCGAACAATGGCAGGAGTGGATCCAACTGATCACCTTTTTACACGTCTACACTCTAGATCTCTCGTCGATATCCAGAACCTGACGTATCATGGGATAGATGCCGGCACCGGTCAGCTCTTTCTTGTCGCAGGTGGGGTGTGGACAATGCAATTTAACACCCCGCAGCTTCCTGGGCATCCACAGTAACAGGCGCTGTGCAAAGAATTTGCTAGGGCGTGGAGGTTGTGATGCAATAAGTGGTGGCTGAGGGGATACCCCCAAAGCTTGTTAACTCTAAAAAAGAATAAGTTTGTAATAAATAATATATAATAAATATTTAATAATTTTATAATACATTATAATATTATATTATATTTATTATTACATTATTAAGATAGTATTATGTTATAATACCTGCTGAAACTCAAGTCTGGAGGAGGAATACCAGCCGTGGAATACCGTTTCATCATACCATTTGCCATTGGGGCCAAACCAACTCCATCGCTTGCTGTCAACACATTCATCAAAACTTAATTGACCCATCTCATTCCCAACGTTGGTCGTCCATGAAGCAGTATCGAAACTGTGCCCGCTAGCTTCTTCACAATTGTTTTGGACGAGTCCATTTTGATGATTCGGCCAAAAGGGGAAGTAATCGATGCCTTGATGTGATCGGCTCTGGACATGATATCCTGGACATAAACAGTGAGGAACCACTTGTACTTGGGAACTGGTACATACTTGGGGAGGCCCTTCGAACTCTTGGGCTATAATCAGACCACTCTTCGAGGCTTCAATGAAATATTTGCAGTCGGTCAAATGATTTGACTCAAATCCACTCTTCGAGGCTTCAATGAAATATTTGCAGTCGGTCAAATACTGTATGCTCTTCTGTAGCCATTTCTCACTCTGCTGTTTGGACATTTTGCAGTACGCTTGAGCTGTTGCCAAGACTCCACTGTCGCAGAAGTGTAACTACTTTGACATCACAGGCATACTGGTAACTGGTAGATACATGTAATTAGAACAAGAAATTGGAATTGATGACGAGGATCGAGCTGTCGAACAATGGCACGACTCCAACTGCTCTACACTCGAGGCGGTATTCTGCAGCCAAATTATACTCTTGTCTATATCCAGAACCTGGCGTATCCTGGGATAGATTCTAGCACCAGTTAGCTCTTTCTTGTCGCAGGTGGGATGTGGACAATTCAATTATATTTAACACCCCAGTTTCTGGGCATCCACAGTAACAGGCGCTGTGCAAAAATTTGCTAAAGCGTGGAAGTTGTGATGCATTAAGGGGTGGCTGGGGGGGATATTATCAAAAAATAAATAATATATAATAAATACTAGTAATAATAAATATATTATAATATTATATAATAATATGTTCATCCACCTCACACAAGCCAACAACAGGTTTTCGGAACTCTATCAATTCCTAAATGTTTCACCATTTTTTTCGCTTTAGATATATATGTAAAGATTTGCAACATAGTTCACTTTACCATCTGCGTTTACGCTATGATGTCTTTTCATGTTTAAAAAAATGGAAAATAAAATAAAATATTTTGCGCCAAAGTGATACAGCAAACAACTAATGTTGGGAAGATTTGCTGGGTGAGCTCTTGTGACAAACAAACATTCAAAAAACAAAATAATTCAACGAAACCAATATAAATCCGATAAAAACATGATGTGAAAAATCATTCAGGACTTGGTTTCAGTTATCTGCCGAAGATTTCGGCTCGCTATGTTGTGATACTCTCTTGTCAGCTTTTGTTCAAAACGGCTCTAAAGTTTCCCGGCAAAATTGTCGCATTTGTGCCACTTGTTTCCTCTGGGTAGTAAAATTGGTTGGGTGTGAGTGTTTCACGTTGTCAGCAACCATTTTGTTGTTGTTTTTGAACACCATTTCAGTGCGTCATGTTTACTCTGGTCCTTGAGCTTTTGAAAAGATCATCTTGTCGAATGGATAATTTTCGCCTAACCAATTCGCTTTATATTCGTTTCCTCAGGGTGGTAAAATTGGCTTTCCGAATGCTCTTCTTGGTTCTTTTGTTCGCTTTTGGTATGAATTGTATTTTATTTTCAAAAAACCGTTCATTTGTTTTTCCGTAATGGACCGTGGAAAGTGCTTCTCAGCCCATCACAATCAGCCATTTTACCGGAACACAATGCAATTCATAAATCCACAAAAAATTAACAGAATAAATAATTGAAATCCCACGCCACGGGAGTTTTAGACATCGTCCTCGTTCTGTTTGAAACTACAAAGCACATGTTTTCAAGTTGTGATAAATGGTAGAAATCTCCTCGACTAAAAAATACTTATTTAAACTTCCTCAAACTAAATTTATACAATTGATAATATGCAACAAGATTCCTACCCAGTCATTCGTTTGAAGTAATTTGTTTTGGCCGTCGTCGTCTGCCTTGCCGCGCCACACTTCACGTCCATTCTATCAATAGTTCTATACGCATCTCCTGATCTTCGCTAATATGGACTATGGAGACTTGTCAGGTTGTTCCGAACCAAGTTTAGTTGTTCTTCTTCGAAAGCTCCTGCAGATCTGAAAAGAAAGTGCCAATAACAACAGAATAGTCGCTTATGGAACAAAGCGTGTTGTTGACCTGCACCACCCGATCATATCCCCCCCCTCCCCCTCCCCAGGGTATGTGACATATTTTTTAATGACTTTGTCGAACGAAAGGGGTTGGACTGAAGGATTGGAAGTCACCACTCACCTTTTTCGTACAATCAATCATGATAACTCTTCCGCAGGTTGACGTTATTTGGGCTTTAACCTCTTCCATTCGGGACCTCTGATTCGGGACAGAACATCTTGACAATAAGCCGTCAACAACCAAGATGGTTTCAGAACAGGAGTTCTGGCAGGTGGGTCTTCAGGCAGACAAGGATACCTCGGGATTGCGTTCTCGTAAATGCCTGGCAGTCAGACAAATAATTGGCACATCTTGAGAGCCAAACCTCTTCGTGTTCCTCTTCCAGTTTTCTGAACAACTGGGTGGAGCTGTAACCGGCACGCCTCGTTCTTAGAAGTCTCACAACTTTAACGTCACTCGCATACTTGTGAGTGATGGAACTGAAGCTGGTGTCCAATGTCGAGCTGTTTGATAATCGAACGTCTCCAACTTATCAGTTTCCTTGTGCATTTTGAACACTCCAAGTATTCAGCAGCTACGATGTAATAGCCATCAATGTCGAGTACTTGCCGCACACGGGGTAGACACTAGCACCTGTTAGGGGATTTTCCTCACACTCAGGATGGCGGCAGTGCAGTTCGACCTGCCACAACTTTCTGGGCATCCACAGAAGAAGACGCTGGGCAAAGTATCTTGACACTGATGGTGGTTGGGTTGGTATAAGAGACGGCTGAGAGGGTAATACCACATTTGCTTTTCCTTTGTGCTGTCAAAGGCTGGTTTCCCTTGGGGGCGACAACTTGAATAGGGCAGATGAAACCCATTGGTGGTTAACTTTTGGCAGGGTCTGTCTCCATCTCTCAATTAGGTTAACATTGCCTGATGTGGTAGAATATATTTCCCTATTAAAACACTTAAAAGGAAATAGCTTACCAATGACTAACAGCTATGTGAATATTATGTTTAATTGTCATCATTGTCATGATTAATTGTCATCACTTTGTGATTACTATCAATTCAGACAAAAACTCATAAAACCTACAAACTACACCTTAGCTCTCCTAATAATAATTTAAATGCGTTATACCTTCTGACGTCTGTGATGCAGATTCTATCTCAGCAACACTGGACAGCAACTCGTAGTCAGTCATGTCCACTAGTAAATTCTACTGTACAAGTTTCAGCAGTGTTTCTTCGCTCTTCTTCTTTCTGTAGCTCTTTGCGCTCAAGGTGGAATCATGAATCGGGGTATCTGTGGTGTATGTGGTATATGTGGTTGAATCTGTTGTGAGCGTGTACGTGCCTGATCGATTGTGGTTTGGGGTAGGATGAACTGGTGAGGGGATCGGATGGTTGGAACGGGAAGCAGGGTCGGATGTAGGGGTACAACGGCAAGTAGTGGCTCAGACGTTGTTACTGTGGCTTCGATAGTGGACAGCCCTTGTTCCAACAAGCACTTCCCTCTCTTGCTGCCTGGAACGATCGTTGTGCCTATTAAGAAAGAAACGATAACAACATAATCAACATTATACTCTCACGTTTATAAACCTATGTGCCTACAATATCTGGGTATTATTACATACCATCTTGTTATAGTGTCGCTTGGTTGATCTCTACTAGCTGGATAGTGGTTTTCTCCTTTACCAATTGGTTAGTCAAGATCACATTTCTAATTTTTCTGTAGGCTTGACCAACCAGGGTCCAGCGAAGGATCGTTTTACCATTCTTCTTCACGTTGGAGGGGTACTTTTGACAAAGCATGATAAACAGCGACTCCATGTAACGGTTACAGTCTGGTAGATTTGCTGACCCACTGTTTTGACCCAGGAAACATCTTAAAAGTAGACAAACGGTAATGTTGAGAAGGAAATTCAAGGGATATGAAATTATTCCCATCTAATTTCTCACCTTTTAGTACTATCAAACACCAGTAACGGTTGAAGATTTGGACGACTTGAATCTTCCCTGTGTCAACTTTCTCCGATGACGGTGTGAAAATGTCACCGCTTTTTTGTCGTAAGATTGACTAGAGTTCAATCACCCAGTTGTTCGAGATTAGGTGTTTCCTCGGCTACCTCTTCCACTGAAAAGATTGTGTGGTCTTCAATTTCTGTTTCCTAAACAGCGGTTACAGCGCAGTGGTGCTGACCAATGACATCAATCATACCGGAGTCGGTGTGCGCGTCATTTTGAATCTTCGGAAATTGAATCCGTGAAAAATTACTTCTTCCCCCTTTTGGAATGTATTTTTTTGCTTTTTGTACAGACTTGAGCTACGTGACTTGATCCAAGTCTAATAATAAGTATGTAGATAATATTCATTTGTATATATTTGTCAAGGACCTGTGTATAAAAATCTGTTACACTAACCCCTCCCGAAGAGTTTTCATCCCAGTTTGGAAGCGCAGTTTGACACATTACTTCGACAGGGAGTATTATAAGTATTGTAAAAAAACCCGCACAAAACAAAGTCTGTTAACAAATACTGATGCAAGATTGATTGACATACCACAGCAAAATTGCTTATTAATCGCTTATTTTCCCTTTTCCACTTTCAACATATTTTCTTAAAATTTCAAAAACTTCCTCCATTATTAATACGATTGTTCCATCCTAAGACAATGCTAGTTGCCGTAATATTGTTTGTGGTTTTCATTTCTAGGTTGGCCACACTTCGAACACTTGGATGGAGCAGTTCTTTCCCGATATCTGTTTGGAGTTTCTCCTGCTAATTTCGTCTCTCTCTTCTTTTTTCAGTAACAGCGAGGGAGCTTGGTAGCGATGATGGTGGCTGTGATAATACTTGTTGTGTTTACCTCATGTCCGCTTGACCTGCCATATTTCGAGGCAAGATGAATCTGAGCGGGATTGGGATAACCGGGACTAGTAGTGAGGATGGGAGTAACGGCAAGGAAGAAGGCAATGGTTCCATCGCTGGATCGTCTTGCCATTCTGTTTGATTGACGTGGTGTATTTCTGGCACAACTTGACGAGCAAAGCTTCCATGTAATGATTGCAATTAGGATGTCGTTTGATGCTACTTATCGTCTGGTGCTATGAACACCAGGTACTGTATTACAGAAGATTCCGATGACATGAATCGTCCCTTGGTTAATCTCGTCTGATGATGGGATGAAAATGTCATTGCTTTTTTGTCGTAAGTGGACAAGTGCCTCCAGAGTTCAATCACCCTCTGAGCTTGTGCATTTGTTAGTGATGAACAAGTCTCAGCTGGAGAAGAAATTCTGCTAAAACAGTCAAATGTCCGTACCCCACCACTCCGTCTGGCCCGACATATTCCTGCAAGAGATGAGATAAAAATTCCTCGTCACGTGTGTAGCGAGGAAGGAAATTCCCTATGCGGATATTCTTTGTGAGCATCCCTCCAACTTTCATAGGTCTGACTCTCAGTAGCCTAGCAATACCAATTCTCGAAGTACTGCCTGTGTGTAGCCGGATCTCTACTCTGTTTGCACTTGTCACATGTGACGGGTTTGGACGAACGCTGGTATTTCCTAACAGAAATCCCAGACGCTTCCATCTCCGCTTTCCGTTTCTGGTAATAAAACTGGCTTCGATTCTGTTGACTTGGTGATTGACTAACTGTGGACTGAGAAGAAATTGGATGAGGCTGTGGTAGTACTGGTGGTGATTGTGGTAGTGGTACTGGACGTCTAACAAAGCCTTTTACTTTCCCAGTTGTGTTTTCCGGTATTGCCAAAGATGAAGGCAACGGCGTAGCTGATGGTAGTGGGTCTTGAGATGCTTGCTCAGGTAGAGGTAATCGTATTCCTTGCCTCAAAACGTCTCGCTCCATTTTCTTCTCCCGTTTGTTGTACCTAATATGAAAAGTATATTTCTTATTTTGATCCCTTGGCGTTATTTTGATCCCTTGGCGTTATTGGCCAGGCACTCTCCGATGCTCTTATAGCTCTTGCATATGAGGGTCCACCGTGCTGTTGTCGTACCACCAGATCGTTCCGGTCCAGGGTGAACATCACATAATCGTGAGATAATAGCTTCCACGTACCTATTATAATCAGGCCATTGGGCTGGACCAGAACTAGAGCTAAGGAAACACCTTTACAAAAAAAAATAGAACGGGAAAATATTATCCATATAACAAGTCGCGGATTATTGCATTGCGTTTTACTTCGTCTTCGTTCTTAATACAGGATACGACGAATTATCCATTGTAGACCCTATACGTAACAAATTAAAAATGCGTTAGTTCGAAGTGAAACTCTACGGAGTAAATTCGTTATAAATCTTGTACAAGTTGTTGGGCAACGAAAACTTCCAAATATATTCTTAAAATATTGTAGCTTCTGTAACTTGTCAAAAGCGGTTGCAATTTGCTCCGAGCAATTTCAATTTGCACATCAACATTGAAATCTTGCGACTAAAATAAGCGATGACGTCATTTATCATTTTTAGCCAAAACGTATTTCCAGTCCACCAGTGGGCAGTGAACTGGCAATTGAAAAATGTATGGAAAACCGGCAGACGGTTTTTCACCGCCCGCGCACCGTTCTCCAGCCCTAATTTTCATGCTCGCAAGCACTCCCCCCAAAACCCGGTTGCTACACAGGCTATGTAGATTGCTTTAATTTAATTATAAACACTTACCATTTTGAAATTGTTAGTTTCATTGACTGGATACAATTGAAGATTTGTAGGCTCGTAGAGGCGACTGTTGACGACAGTATTCCTCAGTGTACCCGTAAAACTACTACCTTCCACTTGGAAAGGTAGGGACTCCCAGATCCTTTTGCCCTAATTTGTTTAACTGCCTCCCCAGCCAATCGTAACACGATTGCCTCTACAGGTCGACTCTTTGTGAAAGACTTTGTGCAACTTGTCCACTATTAGGCATTAACAAAAGTTCTGAAATGTACAACAATAAAATATAGTCCAATAATAAAATATATTGTTCGTATTTTCATCTAGTTCCTCTAGGGCAATTTCATTTCACATTTGTATTTTGTTAAAATACCTTTCCGCCACTTTGTTTGTTTTGGGAAAATCATTAATTGTACTGCAGTACCATTAATGAAATAATTGTACTCCTCTCAACCAATCAGCATCCAGTAATTTTGTCATGCTAATAATAAGTTTATTAACCAAAATTAGTATTATTTTTGCCCTTTTGCCGCTACAGTTTAGCATTTGTTATATTATAGCTTGCGCCCTTGCCATTGCTGCAGTGCCAACAGCTTCAAGCAGTGTCAATTTTTTTTTAGAAACCGAACTTTGGCTTTTTTAAACTTTGGAGGAAACACCAAAGCTTTCTTGTCATACTCAGGTTAAGATAAAGCTGGGTTATTTCAGCTGCTTGCTTGTCGGTAACATGGCCATCCAAGGCCAACAAAGAAGACGCAAGCTTTCCAACTTTATCCCAACCTGGAATCCCCAATGCATCGACAGCTGCCTCCTCGTCTTCCTGTTTTAAATTAAAACTAAAATAGTAACAGGTCCATTGCAATGAGTTAATAACCCCAATATATACTGATTGGGATTATTACCTCATTACCACTATCACTGCTCTGGCATAGTCACAGTTTCGTCAGTCTCCAACGTATCTTCTTCGTCATCATCGGCCATGTTGAAATCCGCCTCTTCGATTTATTGTCAAGCTCTTGCACTTCACCTTGACAATCTCCAGTCTGAGAGCGAAGATGTATCACATACCAATGATCTCTCCTGTATATGCAGGTGGGGTGCAAAAGCTTGACAGAGCAGGTTTGTTGTGTACGACAGAAGACGAAGCATTGAAACGATGCTTCAGCCACATGTCAAAGCTTTGTGACATTTTCTCGCCCGCACCTTCCATACTGTCTTACAAGCGCTGCAGGTTCCATCGCGCCAATCAATCTATCAGGTAGACTTGAAATGACACTCCACTTACTGATGTTCCTGGAGATTTAATTGAAATATTTTTTGAATGAAATAGACAAATTTAGTTTGCATGATAATTAGATGCAAATTGACCATTTCAGTTCAATGTCATAACAGATTCTTTATTTAGCGTCTACTTGTCATGCAAGCTAAATAATGCAGTCAGCATGAGTTGCAATTGGGACAGATCTGGGATTTCAACCCAGCATTCGCTACGTCAAAGAGTCTGTGTATCTTTTGAAACTCAATGTCAATTTGCACATGCACAGCACTCACCAACTCTACCTATACAATGTTACCTATAAAATATGTTTATCAACCAGCTAATCATGATGTTACCTGGAATAAACCTTGCTAGATGAAGGTGGAAGCTTTCCAGCGAGGTAGCTACCCCCACGAGCACAACGATAAATTGGCAGGGTTTTCCATTCTTCTTTAGTCTGGCCAATCACGGTGTACAATGGGATTTCGGGCGGATCTTGGATGCAGGGGATATGTCCCCTGTGCTCGTCACCATCTCATCCCTGAACAAGGCGACTCCCAGAACATCTGTGGCTGTAGCCATTGAAAAAGACTCCAGCAGCGCGTGAGCGCTTCGGTTGCCTCTACACCTCACCTTCTTCTCCTAGAGTGTCCTGCCAGCTCTTTCTTGCTAACTGCACTCCGCACAGCCGCGGTTGACGGATTCCTTACACCGCTGGCAGAAAGTTCCGCTCTATTGGCCCATTTGGCCGCATTGAGTCCAGGGTTTTCTTGGTCCCATTCGAATATGCACCGAGACAAACGGTGGGAGACTGGGAGTGGTGTTAATGTTGTATTTGGTGGTGATGGAAGAATTTCTCGGGTGAGAATTCTTTTCTCCAGGTTCTTCTGGTGATCATTCCACCTAGATTGTTAAGATAGATAGTAGAATTTAAAGTGTTGTTTAAAGTGTTTTTTGTGTTTGTTGTTTGATTGATATTTAGTGCGATATTGTCTATTAATTAAACTACCTTCCTTTGAAAAATATCATTGCTTTCTTTTTGCTACTGTTTTTAATGTTGGATCATTTGAGATGTATTTCATTTTACCTGGTACTAACTTGTTCAAGTGCAGATGGAAAGACTCCAATGACGTTGAGCCACGTGCACAGCGCAACACAGGTAAGGTAATACCGCCTGTAGTAAAGAATAAGAATACTTTTTCTTTCATATAGATTCATTACCTTACGTATACCAACCTTAAACCAAAGTTCTTGTTTGGGTGTTCAGCTGAACACTCCCAGGATCTTGTATACAGGACACATGGCATTCCTGCGACTTCCATATGTCCCAGACTTTCTCGGAGTCGAGGAGTAGCACACACCTAACGTGTCTCGTCCTTGTTCGCCGTCAAACGTTTTCAAAAGATGAAGCAATAACGTTGCTGTCTTTTCAGTGCCTCGAGTTTGGCGACGGCAATGAAGAGACAATTCTTTCTTGGAGATGGATTTCAACACAAGGGGGTGATCTTCTTCCAAACCCAGCTCCAACGCCTTCGCCATCTTCAATTTGCTCAAGTCCTCCACAGACCACTCGAAGATGCACTGGGAGAATCTTCCCATGAACGTTGCATACAATGGATGCGACTCTGTGGTGCACGCAGAAGCGATTCTCCTCATGAAATGCCATATGTCTAATCTAACACATATGGCATCTCAACCAGGAAACAAGGCTTTGATTCCCCTTGCACCACAGCAGTCACGATCCGTGTATACAAGCTCAGGTGGACTCACACCAGCTTTCTTGTAACGGTCGACCAGAGCAGTTGTCATTCACTCGATACCACTTCCTTCAGCAGCAGTTAGGACGCTGATGAGCACTTGTCCAAATTCGTTTCCTTGTGTATTTTGAACACTCCAAGTATTCAGCAGCTACGATGTAAAAGCCATCAATGTCAAGTACTTGGCGCACACGGGGGTACACACCAGCACTTGTAAGGGGATTTTCCTCACACTCGGGATGGGGGCAGTGCAGTTCGACCTGCCACAACTTTCGGGGCATCCACAGAAGAAGACGCTGTGCGAAGTATCTTGACACCGACGGTGGTTGTGATGGAATAAGAGATGGCTGAGGGGGGTAATACCACATCTGTTTCACCTTTGCACTGTCAAAGACAGCTTTCCCTTGGGGCGACAACTTGAACAGGGCAGACGAAACCCATGGTGATTGACTTTGGGTAGGGTCTGCCTCCATCCCTCGATTAGGTGAACGGTAGAACATATTTCCCTTTGAATACCTACAAGGAAATAGCTTACCAATAACTAACAACTAATATGTGAATATGATGTTTATAGGTTTTATGATTAATTGTCATCACCATGCATTACTTTCAATTCAGACAAAAAATCATAAACCCTACAAACTACACCTTATTAGAGTAGCTCTCCTAATAATAATTTAGGTGCATTATACCTTCTGACGTCTGTGGTGCAGATTCTATCTCAGTAACACTGGACAGCAGCTCATCATCGGTCATGTCACTGGTAAACTCAGATACTGTTCTTTCAACTTGAGCGACTTTAGCAAATTTAGCTAAAATAGACAAAATAAGATAGGTTGGTTTTTGTCGACAATATCGACACATCTACTTATATAAAAATAGGTACGCTGTAGCGTACATGGCGTCTACTGGATCAAAAACTAAGAATGTCATTAATTGCAGTCCAGTTTATATTTACATTTCTGACTTTGGAGTGGGGAAGATTAAAATATCTCGGCAAGTATTTACCCCGCCCCCTTTAAAACGACAACATCCGTTGAAATACTCATAAAATAACCTTTCGAACGGCCGGTGGGTCCACAGTTAAGTCAAATGCCGCCATAACATTACACAAACCAAAACAATTGTATATTTACTCACCACTTGGCCTAACATATTCTGTATTTCATATCGAGAAAAAGTTGAATACCTTCTAAACTCTTCACAATAAGTCAATAGGATTGAAATACTCCTTGTATAATGTATTCAAGCGCGTTCGTGTACACACGTAAAAACGCACAAGTTTTAACAAACTGCAGCAGACTTGTAACAATGCTGTTCCAACAACTTATCAACAACTTGTTACCGTCCTGCAATTCGACAATTTGTCAACAAATTGTGAGTGGTCGACCACCTTGTAGCAACTTGATAAAATAACAGCACTGTTACAACGTGTTGACAAGCTTGCTACAAGCCTGTTGCGAACACATCTTGTTGACGAGTTCAGAATGTCGGGTTGTAATGAGTACCCGTATCCCGATGCACAGAACCGCCGAGGGGGGGGGGACATATTCCCCCGCGCCCCCACCTTAATAGGGCCCCAACTTGAGAGAGAGCCTAAAATTGAGTAGGTTCTTTAAATTGGTCACAGCATTTTTGAAATTGAGGCTCCATACAGTCACTCCACATGCAGTCTAGCTAAGACCTAGTTGGGTGACTGACTTGGGAAGATCTGCCCAATTCTCTTGGCGGCCCTAAAGTGTGTATATATATGCACGTGCAAATGACGCTACATGAAGGGGTAATTTGAATCGATTTCCGACGTTTCTCGAGTGCTAGGATGTAAACGTCGCATTGTTTCAATATTTCAAGCTATCGTATTTCCGGTCGAAGCTCTCGCGTAAAATGTAGATAGAAGAAATACCGAAATAAAAGATGCAAATCTGTAGATACAAACTTGAAAATAACACTCTAAATAGTGTCTTGGATTGTGATTCGAACAAGACTATTATGAAAAAAGATAGGTTGAAAGGGGCCGAAGTTATATTCGGCGAAAGGTATGACTTAGTGACAGGGTGTTAGCCCGGATTTCAAACGTGGCCGTACAAAATAATTTTGTGGGTGGCAACATATTTTTGTGGGCGTGGTCACATGTTTTTGGGTGTGGCCGCAATTTCCTGTTGTTGAGGAATTGTGGTGTTTTATTCGTTGAACCACAGTTAATAGATCTAGAGGTTGAACCATTCTACTTTTAGTTTTAGATGCACGTTTCCGTCATTAAATTAGTAAAAGCACTGACGTATGGTATGATCACTACCGTAACTGTAACGTGGCACTCGAGCGATAAAGCGATTGCTGTTTTTTAAAACAGCGGTTTCACATTATTCTCCTTGATACTTCATGCGATACTTCTAAGATCTTCGGCGTGAGTTTTGAATTGTTGGCGCACAATCACGTCGAGGTTGGCGCACAATTTTTAAGTTTTGGTGGTTGGCGCAGTGTTTAAGCAAGACTGAATATTAATAATCGCCTGGTGATTGGATTGGCCTCTATAATTCTTTAGGGACTTGAGAAATTTGTGTTCCTGGTCAGTGTAATATTACTAAATGGTGGTTATAATTAACTTGTGATACAACAGTAACAACACTCATAATTGCTCATCAGCAAAACATCTTATTCATCAATTACACGCCTTTTTAGCAAGTTTTAATTTTGAAAAACTAACTATTAATGAAAAATCACGGTGCCCACGATCAGCCGGCGCACAAGTTGACCTCACTTGGCGCACGGCAACACTACCTCAGATTATCTTCGGCGTGAGGTTTACACGGAATGCACCCTGGCAGTTGTATGTATTGCCTAATTTTAAATACCACCGTTCGATTCAGCGTAAGAAATTGTACTTACGGATGAGAAATTGTACCTACGGATGTCAAATGTATTACTAAACAACTGACAACAGTATTATAGCTATTGATGGCCTTTGACTTTGTCTTTGAAAGCCAAGCGAAATTGTATTATTTGTTGACAAATCGCTCAAATAATTTATAAAAGATGCAGTACGTTTAATCCTTGATAACTTTGGTATCATTGGTTTTCTCTTTTTCGGCCGTACACCAGTGGAGTCGTCTCACTTCTCTCTTCATTTTGATATTTTGAGCCGAAAAACCCCAAAATATTTTATTTTGAACGTTTTAAACTGGCGGCCGACAGAAGAATGTAGCGTACTATAAAATATAACTTTACTTGTGGGCCCGAGCTAAAGGGGAAACTTCCGGCGTTTATGGCCAGGCTTAATTTCCACACCAGGCTTAATATACGCACGTAAAACTTTAAATCTGTAAAATAACCAAACAAATAAAGCAACAGAATTTACTGCTCCGAAAGTTTTAGTATGAATTTGTTAACTTATTTGTAAAATATTTGAAAATAGGATTCAAAGTTTTACGTGCGTGTAGCCGTGTATACGTGCGTACGAAAAACGCAACAGTGGAAATCAGCCTTTAAAGGCCTGATTCCACGGGCGCTTTTTCTCGGCGAAATGCAAAATATTTCGCCTGTTTCTTTTGAACTGTGAGCAATCAAGTAGAATTAATTTATTCGAGTAGTCGCAATTCAAAAGAAACAGGCGAAATAATTCGCATTTCACCGAGAAAAAGCGTTCGTGGAATCAGGCCTTTAGATGTTAACAGTAATGTGCGTCAGTTGTGTAGCCCCAGCGAGTTAACGCTCCACAGAGCGTCTTGTTTTATATAATAACGTCGGAATATGAAAAATGATAAAACCATTTATCGTAAACAGTTCGGAAACTTTCGTAGATGCGCGGGCTTTAACCTAACCAAAGAGCCTGTTCGCAGGAGAAGTGAACCGTCCACTCACTCTATATGCCTAAACCTCTTGTCGACAGCATATGGCGACTATTGTTCCAGTAGACGCCAAAAACACAAGGTCACAAACAAGGAAGAATGAATATATAATAACCTTGTGGTGGTACATTTGGTTGAATGCTGGCATGTGAAAACCTTCTCTTCAACCTGGCTGCAATTGCTGCTGGATTTGGACTTGATAACAACGGAATACCTATATTTATATAAATATGGAATTATACACCTGTGATGTGTAAATAGCAAAGACTATATTAATATACAGTATAGGGGCCTGTTTATATATGACCTTGTAAAACCTTGTAACTTTTGCATATGAGGGTCCACCGTGCTGTTGTGGTACCACCAGATCGTTCCGGTCCAGGGTGAACGTCACACAATCGAGAGATGACAGCTTCCACGTATCTATTACAGTCGGGCCATTGGGCTGGACCAGAACTAGAGCCAAGGAAACACCTTTACAAGAAAAAAAGGAAAAAGATAATTAACCATATAATATAACAAGTCGCGGATTAACTCGTAAGCCTCTTAAATTCTATATAAATTCACCTTTTGGTGCTATCTAGACCTGGAACAACAAGATTTGATTTATTTTAGGGGGATTTGAAGCGTCCTTTACATCATTTTGGTTTGTGCCTTGGCGAGAACACCGTCGGTTGTTTATCATACGCATCAAGGTTGTCCCACACTCTAATGATTTCGTCGGCTTGGATATTTGTCAATGCCATGTCGGAATCGGTTAACGACACGGACACCAAGAAAGTTGCCAAAGCAGTGACTTTTTCAAATCCCTCTATGTTATCAGGCCCAACTGATTCCTGTAAAAGAGTATGAATTTTATATTGAGAGACGATTATAATTTAATGGTTGTTGCTGCCGTCCATTTTAAATACCTCAAGTGAGGGTCCTTCCATTTGGCCCATACCGGAGCAAGAAGCACTACTTTCAGATCCATTACCTATAAGACAGAACATGGACGTGATATTAATGAGTGAACGTGAGTAATTTGTCTCTGGTCTCAAGGTTTCTATACTGTACCATCTTCATTCGAGAAAACATCAGGAACCAAGCCCACCGTCTGTTCTATACTATCATCAACAAATCCTTCATCCAATTGCTGACCATCATCCATCTCAGACAGCTGTTCAGAAGAAGGGTCGGCCACATCATCATTATCACACCTGTTTTCGAGCACTTCACCTGTCTGACTGAACAAATACTCCACTCCTATCAACTCCCCAGTGTAAGCACCCATTTCTTGCAAGCCTGGTTGTATCTTCTTCCCGATGACACTCTCGCTTAGATCATTTGCAGCCTTCGCCAACACCCCAGAGTAGGTTTCTGGACCAGCCACCACACCAGAGACAGCACCAGCTGTGCGATCGGCATTCCATCTGGACAAACCTTCCAAAAGGTATGCCTGAAAGTGAAGATCACTCGCACTTGTACCTGAAACGATTAATGAGAAGTAATGAGTTATTGTTTATTAAGGTGGTTTTCATATGGGTTTTTCGACTGCAACTGATCGCAAAAGCCCAACCTGTTATGAACCTGTTCAGGTGCAGATGGAATGACTCTAAAGATGTAGATATAAGAAGATAATACAGTAGCTCGGTGGTCTCCACTGTGCCACGGGTTTTCCTCCGGCAGTGCAGAGACAATTCCCGTCTGGTGATACGTTCTATGATGTCTGCATCTCCTGGATTGGCGATATCTTGCTGGAGGAGCTGATGTCTCTTGGTTTTCTTCAACAGGTCCAGGTCTTCCTTCCTCCAGTGGAAAATGTACTGCGACATGCGGCTCATGAACTCGTCATAGAGCTGATGAGATTCAGTTGTGCAGCAGATGGAAAAGTGTCTCATGAAATGCCAAATATCCAGGCGCACCAGCAAATCTTCCCAACGAGAGAAGAGGTCTTTTGTCCGCACGATGCTACCGGCACAGCAGTCTCGGTCGACATACAGGACTTCTGGAGGAGGAAGACCAGCCGTGGAATACCTTTTCATGAGATCATTTGCCATTGGGGCCAAACCAACTCCCTCGCTTGCTGTCAAGACACTCATCAACACTTGACCCATCTCATTTCCAACGTTGGTCGCCCATGAAGCAGTACCAGAACTGTGTCCGCTAGCTTCTTCACGATGTTCTTGGTCGAGTCCATTTTGATGATTCGGCCAAAGGTGGACGTGATCGACGCCTTGATGTGATCGACCCTGGACATGATATCCTGCACATACACAGTGAGGAACCACTTGTACTTGGGAACTGGTACAAACTTGGGGGGCTCTTCGAACTCTTTGGCTATAATAAGACCACTCTTCGAGGCTTCAGCGAAAAATTTGCACTCGGTCAAGTACTGAATGCTGTTCTGGAGCCATTTGTCACCGTACTGTTCCGACATTTTCTTTTGCAATACGGTCGAGCTATTGCCAAGACTACGCTGTCGTAGAAGTCGAATCACCTTGACATCACAGGCATACTGGTATGTAATCAGGACCAGAAACTGGAGCTGATGACCAGGATCCAGCTGTCCAACAATGGCAGGAGTCCAACTGATCACCTTCTTTTTACATGCTCTACATTCCAGGTATTCCGCAGCCAAATTGTATCTCTAGTCGATATCCAGAACCTGACGTATCCTGGGATAGATGCCGGCACCGGTCAGCTCTTTCTTGTCGCAGGTGGGGTGTGGGCAATGCAATTTAACACCCCACTTTCTGGGCATCCACAGTAGCAGGCGCTGTGCAAAGAATTTGCTAGGATGTGGAGGTTGTGAGGCAATAAGTGGTGGCTGAGGGGGATACCACCAAAGCTTGTTAACTCTAAAAAAGACTAAGTTTGTAATAAATATATATAATAATAAATATTTAATAATTTTATAATATATTATAATATTATATAATATTATATTATATTTATTATTATATTATTAAGATAATATTATGTTATAATACCTGCTGAAACCTAGCTCTGCTTTACCGGTTCTAGCATTCGTCTTGAATAAAGCTTGAGCTATCCATTGATGATCAGCCTTAGGTAACGTGTTAAGCCATCCTTCAGGCAAGGTTACTAAAAAGAGAAAAATAATACCAATAATGAACAAAAACATACACTGATTTTCATCATTCATGCTGGCACGTGGCTGATATATTCCCATAAACTACACGACATCAACATATACTATGATTACTGCTCTTTAAGGTCCATGCAGACCGAACGCGACTGACAACGCGACGGGAATTTTCAGTTTTTAAAAACAATTAAAACCGTCAACGGATAAAAATTTTACAAGATATGCAGATCAAATAGCTAAAATTGCTTAAGTGGTTCCGAATATTTGAAAAACATAGAAAAATGTTGAAGTTAAAATGTCATTGAAAATTCGCGTCGCGTTGCCAAAACGCATCCGGTCTGTATGGACCTTAAAAGGTGTAGATCCTCTGGCACATCGGTACGTTGGTAGCTGAATGCCACCCTTAGTCTGAGTTCCAGTCTGAACATAAAGTTGCACATCGTCAGGATATTTGATACAGGCAATATGCATCTTCTGCAATTTCCACGTCTCCCAAGTTTGATCGTTGTTCAGCAAAGGAACGCCCAAGGTGTCACATCCTTGACGGCCAAAGAAGGTGACAACAAGAGAATGCAGTAGCTCGGTGGTCTCCACTGTGCCTTCCTTCGACAGTGCAGACCCAATTCCCATCTGGATTGAAAATATCAATCTCCTGGATTGAAAATATCTTGCTGAAGGAGCTTGGCTTTCTTCAGCAGATCGAGGTCTTCCTTGCCCAGTGGAAAATGCACTGAGACTTGTGGCTCATAAACTCACCATAAAGCTGATGAGATTCAGTCGTGCAACAGATAGAAACGCGTCTCAATATCCAGGCCAAAGCATCCCAACGAGAGAAAAGCTCTTTTGTCCGCACGATACTACCAGTACAGCAGTCTCGGTTAACATACAGAACTTCTGGAGGAGGAATACCAGCCGTGGAACACCGTTTCATCATACCATTTGCCATTGGGGCCAAACCAACTCCCTCGCTTGCTGTCAACACATTCATCAAAACTTGACCCATCTCATTTCCAACGTTGGCCGCCCATGAAGCAGTATCGGAACTGTGTCCCGCTAGCTTCTTAACAATTGTTTTGGATGAGTCCATTTTTATGATGTAATGCTTCTATGTGCTTATAGAAGATTTATTCATAAGTAAAAGATACACGTCTGATTATGTCTAGGTGTTCTAGCGAGTCCTTGAGGTTCCTATTACAATTACATGTGCTAGTGATTATGATATGAACTGTCAATCAACCTAATTGATGTATATATATAGCTACTATATATGAGCATATATTACATCCCCCTTTTTCTAAATTAAAAGTGATTATTACCAAATTATATATAACGTAAAATGAATTATTTAAGAAATCAAGTCTATGTTTGGATTACGTGTTCGATTCAATATTTAAGTAAAGATATTCAAACAATATATGGCAATCAAGCTCCATATGTTCACGTCTTGTAGTTCGGATTCTGGTTTATCCGTCTGCCATAACGGCTTGTCTTCAGTTGAGGTGGGTTTGGCGCTGTTGGGATTTGGATGTTGTTTCTTTCTGCATTGGTTGTTTGTTGTGGGATCGGGTCTCGGGGCATACCTGTAGATTTTATTTTTGTGGAGGTAGCCAATCTTTAAATGGAGCTAGACTATGCCACATTCACGTACCCAGAGCCCGCCTTATACACACGATCATCAACAGAGCATGACAAGGACGCGGTGTACGAAAATGGTTTTGCCTCAACAGTCAACTGCAGATCAAAATTTAGCCTCTGAACGAGAGCAAAATGCCAAGTGTGTCAATGTCCTGTTTATGCGCATATTCTGGATATTTCAGTCTTATTTAATACAGCGGAATATAGAAGTGCATTCTGAGAGTTATTGCAGTTATTCCAGTTAGTCAGTAACTCCTGGCTTAGATAACAAGCTCCAAATGATTTGTGGAGTTAGCAACACAGCAAGTAACTTCAACCTTACATGTATGTACCTAGCGGCTATATGCTGACTCGCCTCGCTATACACATACTTTTTGGAGTTAGGCAGTAACTCGAGGCTTAAATACCTTGTTTTTTCATGATTTTTGGAGTTATACGTAGCTCTAAATGATTATTGGAGTAAGCCAGTAACTCCAGCCTTAGATGCCTAGCTCCTAAATGATTTTTGCAGTTGTATACTTATATAGCTCCAAATCATTTTTGGAGTTAGCCAGTAACTCCAGAATTCATATTTCAACTCTTGAATTACACATTTACACAAGTTACTCAAGTGTATATTTTGGTTTGGAGTTAGCCCTTTAGAGCTTGGAGGTAGCGTCGCTCCATAACTTCCTACTTTCCACAGGCATGTCTCGGGGATCGTCAATATCCGGTGTGTCTAGGTCAGCTTGATGTTCTCTAGTCTTTCGTAGATGTTCACGATTCCGTCGATATTCCGTCCCGTTCTCACCCTTTATTACGTAGCTTCGTGGTGCTTCGTGCTTTCGTATCACCGTCCCACGGGTCCATGCTGCTTGAGGATCTTTCTTAAATCTCACTGTATTACCCTTTTCTAATGGTGGCAGAGACTTAGCAGTGCGGTCATACTGTTTTCTCTGTTGTTGTTGCTGTTGTTGACGTGCTGCGTGGAAAGTGGTTCTGTTGACAGGTTTGGGATTAAGCTTTCTTTGGGATATGGGGAGGGGTGAGCGGAGTCGTCTGCTCATTAGGGCTTGTGCTGGGGTGACGCCATCTATAGGGGTGTTGCGGTAATCTAACAACGCGAGATATGGGTCTTGACTGGCGACTTTGCCTTTTTCAAGAAGGTTCTCGACTGTTTGGACTGTCTTTTTCCCAGATAGGTTATCTTGGTTTGTCGAAACTGACATTTGTCTTTGCTAAGTGTCATATTGATATCTGCCACTCGATTGAGAACACGTTCAAGGTTTTGATCATGTTCTTCCAGTGTTCGTCCTCAAATCAAAATATCATCGATGTCCGTCTCGCATCCGGGTAAATCATGAAATTTCTCGTTGACAGTTTTATGAAACACCTCTTGTGCAAACACGACACCAAATGGTATCACAGTAAAGCGATAACGACCAAATGGCGTATTAAATGTCGTCAAATAAGAGCTCTCTTCGTCAAGTGGCATTTGCCAAAATCCAGAGTTCGCATCCAGTTTACTGAAGAATTTGGCGTCTGTCAGGCGGCTTGTAATATCTTGCTGTGTGGGGAGTTGGTAATGCTCTCTGCGCAGAGATTTGTTGAGATCTCGTGAATCAATGCATATACGTAATTTTCCCGAGCGTTTCTCGTTAACTACCATGGAGTTTACCCATGCCGTGGGCTCGTTGACTTTCTTAATGATCCCCCTGGATTCCATTTCTTGTAGTTCGTTCTGGACTCGATCTCTCAACGCTGAAGGAAGCTTACGAGGTGGATGAACAACAGGCGTTGCGTCAGGGTTAATCTTAATGTGACAAGGGTCTGATATGCGTCCTAATCCGTCAAAGCATTTGAAATATTTCTCGAATATCTGTTCACTCGTAAGTCCGTTTAGTGAACTTTGAGGTGACGCGTCGTTAATTGGCTGGTTGCGCAGCTGGTCTACGTTATGAAATGTTATAAGTTTCATACTTTTACAGTTTGTACATCCGAGCAAGGATTTGCCCGTCTCGACCACTTGAAACTCGAGTACTTCAGTCGCTCCTTTGTATTGACACTTTAAATAGCATTTTCCGATGACAGGAATGTTATGGCCCCCGAAAGCGGTCAGTTTTGCGGCGCTCGTTTTGAGCTTGCTACGACGTTGTCGTTTTGGAACAGCGGCTTCGAAATCTTTCTTTGTTAGAACGTTTGTCTCGGCTCCGGAGTCGAGTTTTATGCGAATTGTCGTGTTGTTAAAAACATGAAAACCTAAACATGACTATGGAGTGTGGACGTGTTCAAGATTGCTCTGCTAGTCCAAGCCAAATATTGGCTAAAAGTTTATCCGAATTTACCAACGATAATAGTATAAGCTTTAGCGAATTTACCCAAACGGATGATTACGAATCTTTTTACACCGACAACAACGATACGAATCACGATCAAAGCAAATCAAAATCAGGCTCATGCTCACATTCACAACTTATCGAACCGCTCCAGTTAAATGGCGAACGGTTGTTATGGAAAGGCACACTACAAACACTAAAGGACTTTGTTCAAAAATCGCTTCAAGAACAAGGTAAATGGACATCGCCTGGGGGAGAAGCAAAGCGATTTACAAGTATAAACGGCAGATTCGAGATGACTTGGTACGGTAAACAATCAACATTAACATTCAATGGAAAAGAAGGAAATCTGATTAAAGATAAATTAGCGGCTATGGTTAAAACGAAACCGTTATATGAATCAAACAACTCAAAAGCTTCGTCAAAGGACTATTTTGACAAAGCAACAGAAAATATTCCTTCGATGCGGAATAATAATGAGAGTGATCGTCTCGATTCACTGATCACTATTGTCCAAAGTCTGAGTACAAAATTCAGTTGTTTTGAACAAAAGTTTGAAGCCTATACGCAAGATGTAGATGTCGCAACCAATGAATCAGGAAACAACCCAGACGAGCAGAAAGATCTAGATATCCGCAGATTGCAAGAAGAAAATGAACGATTAAAGTCGACAAACGTTCACTTGAATGAACGCCTAAATAAGTACGAAAATGCGGCAGACGATTTGAAAAGCAAAATTAAGGCTGTGGAAGACGAAAAAGCCAGTCTTCTAACTGCCATACGTTTGCTCCACTCGGATCGTAATGATACTTGCCCGGACACTGGCGACGATCGAAACGCATGGTCCAAAGTTCAGATGAATAAAAATAAAAAAGACACGAAAGCACCATCCAGAGCTACGAAGAGACAAGCAGCATCGGTAATTACGAAAAGCCATACCACAAATCCAGTGTTAAACTCAAACCAATATGCCCCGTTGACTATCGAAGAAAGTGAGGGTGACGAGGTCGAAATTACAAGAGAAACAGCTCCTACAAGAAAACTTAAGAGCAATACCCAAGCAAGCACAGTTATAATCGGAGATTCAATGATAAAATATATAGATAGTAAACGACTGCTTCGAGGAATTAAGAAAAATGGTCAGATCTCTAGAAGAACCGCAATAAGGGCAGAAACTTATCGGGGAGCTGGCGTTGACGATATGAAGCACCATATTAAACCGTGCTTGCAAAGAAAACCGGAAAAAATAATATTACATGTGGGAACAAACGATATCGGTAGCAAAAGAGCAAAAGATTTAGTCAAAGGAATTAATGACATATGCGAAATAATTCAGAAAGATAGTCCGACCTTTGAAGTAGCTGTGTCACTGCTGGTTACAAGAGCGGATAGACCAGAATACAAGACAAAGATAGAAAAGGTAAACATGGCATTAATAGATTACTGTGAGAGTAAAAATATCCAAGTAATCGACCATGCTAACATTGAAACTAAACATTTGAATCCCTATGGGGTTCATTTAAGTAGATTAGGCACGTCGATAATGGCCAGAAACTTTTTATCTTACATAAACAATGTTGAAAACAACTGACATTCCAATGCGATCGAGCGTAGTTTTAATGTTGATAAAAATGTCAATAACGAAGTAGAAAAGCATGATGAAAAATCAAATTATAATACAAACAGTATTACTAAAGGAAAAGTTGCTACAAGAGGTTCTAAAATCGCGCATTTAAATATTAGAAGCTTAATTAAGAATATAGATCAATTAAGAATACACCTAGAAAAACAACAATATGATATAATTTGTATAAACGAAACTAGGTTAGACAGTACTGTAGCAAATCAGGATGTGAATATAAGAGGTTACGATATAGTCAGAAATGATAGAAACAGAAATGGTGGTGGGGTAGCTATCTATATAAGAAGTGTAATAAATTATCAGGAAAGGCATGACCTAGAGAACGAACATCTGGAGGCAATCACAGTTGAAATCTCTAAGCCAAAATCTAAACCATTCTTAATCAATGCCTGGTATAGACCACCAGATACCAGATCTGAAAAATTTGAAAATTTTGAAGATTGTTTAAAGAAAATGGACGCGGAAAATAAAGAAATCATCCTTATTGGCGATTACAACTGTAATTGGGACCCAAACCACAGTAACA